TCATTACAGCAATTGGTGGAATGGGCTCAGGAAAAGAGAAATACAAGTTCTTCTTTGTGGTCTCTGTGCATTACACATATGGGTGCTGTACCTGCGCAGTGCCTTCATTCAGGAAGATTCTCCTAGCTAAGCCAAGTTACTTAGTAACCATGTATGGGCTCTGGACAGATTTATTTTATCAATAATATTTTGTTGCTTAATAGTTACATATCAGTCAAAATTTTCTCAGGAGATTCTGTAAGACACTCCATAGGAACTACAAGATGGCTTGGCTTCCTGGAGATGAAGATGGTGTCGGGATGAGAAGGCTGTGATTAACGGAGCTTCTGTTATCACACCGGTATTGTTCGGTAGTGAGTCGTGAGAGGCTCATCTAAGCCCTGTTGGGGCAAAGAAAGATTGCCTGGGCACTCTTCTGGTCAGTGTGGGACGGCAACCCCATATCCACTGGGAGAATTTCAGGCATTTCTCAACCAGACTACACAGAGCAGCTTTTTTTTTAGCTCCTTCAAGTCCTCAACATCTGATGGAAAATTAGCTTATTTTAGCCAGATAAGCATCAGGACTGCTGGTAAGCATTTTTATTTATTTCTTTTCACAATACTACCCGTGGAAAAGCTGCATCTGTTCATAATTGGCATAAAGAAAAAAGAAAAAGCCCTCCCGAAATCTTTAAGCGGCAACTGATATGGAGAAGAGTGTGGAGGCTTTTATCTGAGTTGAAGCTGAAGAAAAAGACTTTTCCTCTAATCTCTAAGGGCGAAGAATTAAAATAAATAACCACTGTGGAATTAAATGATAGAAGGTTAAAATGTATAGCAATCATTTTGGATATCTGCTTGGACTTCTGCCAAAACTAACTGGACACTTGCCAGGATATTTTTCATATTACGTGGTGTTTTCCTCTCTACTGTGATGACTTTCTGGTGAGCATTCTTACCTTCTTTTTGCAATACTACCTGTGGAATAACTCTATCTGTTGTTAATTGGCATAAAGGAGGAGGAAAAGCCCCCTTGATGGAAGGAGGAATTTCCCCCACCCCCCACGGTGTTTTGTGTTTTAAGCAGCAAATGATATGGGGAGAGGATTAACGTTTGTGTGAAAGTTTAAAGTAGAAACTGAAAGTTGAAATTGAGGAGAAAGATTTTGTTTCCTTGATCTCCCCAGGGGTGAAGAAGTAAAACAATAACTATTGGGGATTTAAGTTATAGAAGGATATAATTTGTTGGTGGCCGTTTTTGGCCAGCTTCCCCTTTGTCTGGGACTCCTGCCAAAAAGAAACTGGATGGTGACATTTTTTTTCTTTTTTTTAAATAGCCCTTTGCTGCCACCTGGTGGCTATTGGAATTATTGCAAGCTATTTCCATTTTTTCCCTTTTTACTATTTTATTCAATCTCTATTTTTTCTCCCTCCCTTTTTTCCCTTTCTCTCTCTCTCTTTTTTTTTTTTTTTTTTTTTTTTTTTTTTGCTGTTATATTGAAGCTTCTTTAGTGAACAACTTTCATCATGAGAAAAACTCAGCCCTCCTCCTCTTCGGCACCCTCCTCAGCTGGTCAGAGACCAATTCATCAGCCTAAGACAGAAGATGTTGCAAAAAGCTTAAGAGAGTTGCAAATGATGACTTTGGTGATACAGACAGCTTTAACAACTTGGCAAGCATCCCAAGAGGCGATGGCAATATGGCTAGAAAGTTTGTCAAATGAGCAAAAAGAGCAACTTGACAAATTGGATAATTCTGTTAAAGAGGTGACAACCCAACTATCTGATGTTCGACTTAAAGCAGAACAGAACACACAAAAAATACAAGCATGTGAAAAATTGGAGACAGTAGATAAAGAAATACATCTAATTAAGCAAACAAATAAGTCAACATGGGACTCAATGGCTACATTAGAGATGGAGAAGGCATCTTACTACCTAAGATTTCAGAATATACCAGAAGAAAAAAATGAAGACCTGCGAGAGCTTATAACTGGCATGTTGGCGGAGCTTTTAGAAATCGAGAATGAGGTCATGAGTATGAGAACTGAGCTAGTTTTTAGGGTCAATTCCACTTATACCAGAAAAAACTTCCAAGGGAAGTTCATGTCAAATTTGCTCTAAGGTCTATAAGAGACGATGTTTTGAAGGCCGTACGGGAGAAGCGGTAAAGAGAGATGATTGTCAGGAGGTGACGGTTCTGAAACAGATACCATGGAGGATTAGAGAAGGATGAAAGAAATACTTATTCCTTACTACAAAACTGATCAAGAAAGAGATTATCTTTAAGTGGCTAACACCAGAAGGAATATTTTTCATATGGAACTCTGTAAGATATAAATTGGATTCAATTCCTAAAGCACAAGAGTTCTACGGAAAATTTAGAGCTATGTTTGAAGAGGTGGAACCTGACATCTCTAATGAAGGAGAAAAAGGTGCCAAAGCAATGGAAATAACAGCATACCATTCTGAAGGAAAAATACTGAATGTTGATTCACAACAAGAAGTACAGACTTTGGACTCAAAGGAGAAAAAAAAGGTAGAACTGTAAAGGCAAAGATTAAGTAGATAAGAGGGAGGGAGGGAGGGAGGGAGTTTTCTATTAAACATGGCTCTTAAAAAGGAAGGGAAAATTGAATTGCTCTCCTTAAACGTTAATGGACTAAATGGACCATCTAAGAGAAGGATTTTTGCTCAACTTCAAAAACGAAAATTAGATATAATTTGTTTACAAGAAACACATATTAAGAAACAATGTGTTAAACTTCTGGAATGTTTAAAGCTGGGAAAACTGTTTGTATCTTCTGCATTACAAAAGAAAAGAGATTTAGCACTATATGTTAGAGAAAAATTGGACCCTAAATATATTCTTGCTGATGAGGATGGTAGGATCTTGAAGGTTGAAATTACAATTAAACTTAAAAAGGTGCTCTTAGTGGCAATATACGCAGCAATGGCCATCAGGAAACTTTTACCAAAAATTACATACGTTACTCTTACAAGTAGACTACCAGACTATGTGTGTAATGGGTGATTTTAATGCAATTGTGGATAAGGGAATGGATCACAAGAGTGAAAGTAAGGGAAAAATGGGTAGGAGGATGCTTCCAAGGTCTTGTTCCAACATGATTGAAGAATTCAGATTGATAGACGCCTGGAGGAAAAAAACCCAACTTCCGTCAATTATTCTTTCTATTCAAACAGACACAGGTCATGGTCTAGAACTGACATGGTTTGGATAACTCCAGACTTAGTTCCAGATTTGATAGAAGCTGAAATGGAGACAAATGTCTGGGCAGATCATAACCCTGCATCTATATCACTGAATGGAGCTGTAAGGACACTCAGATGGAGCCTAGATAAAGTGTTATTAAAAGATAAAAAATTTACAGAAGAGATAAACAAAGAAATGCAAGTATTCTTTCAAATAAACCAAGTGGAAGAAACTTCTTTACAGAATGTCTGGGATACAGCTAAAGCCTATGTCAGGGGACTGATAATAACCTACTCAGCAAAAATGAAAAAGAAAAAGAAAAAGAAAAAGAAAAAGAAAAAGAAAAAGAAAAAGCAAGAGCGAGCAACATTAGTAGAAGAATTGAGGAAACGGGAACAAGAACTGCAGGAAGATCCAACAAAAAGAAATCTTAAGGTCCAAATGAATACTTTAAAGCACAAATTGAACCTCTTGGATACAAATGAACTTACTAAGCAAATGAAACTGGCCAAAGAGAATTTCTTTGAAAATGCTAATAAACTGGGGAGATGGCTAGCATATAAAGTAAAAAAAGAAAGAGAGAAGAGACTGATTTTGAAACTGAAAGATGGAGAAGGACGACTACATGTACAAAACACACAAATCAAGAAAATAGCTGAAGACTTTTTCGCAATGTTATACTGGAAGGAGGAGATTTTGATCAAGAAAGTAAAAGAATACATTCGAAAGGGAGACTTACCAAACCTACCAGAAAAGTATCAAAAATTATTGAATCACATTTAATCACAGCGGCGAGGATTGCGCTTGCTCAATACTGGAAGAGTGAGGAATTACCCACCGAGGAACTGATTTTAAAAAAGATTCTGGACTGTGCAGAAATGGATAGATTGACTCTATCACTGAAGAAGAAAGAAGATACTGACTTCTATCAAACTTGGGACCTTTTTTATGATTGGCTGGAGAAACGGGACTTGGCTTAGATTTAAAGATGTTTTTAAATTTTTATAAATTGATTTGAATATGACTATAGAATGTTAAAAAGATATGTAGTAAGGGGCTGACCCAGTACGTCCAATGTATTTGATGATTGATGTTTTTAGTTTTAGTTTAAAATCTTAATAAAAATCTTTATAAAAAAAAAGATGGCTTGGCTTCCCCAGTGGGAAGAAGTTAGGCACTCATTGTGGAAGCTGGCATGAACCCAGAACTGGCAAAGAATACACAGGAAAGAAGGAATAATTAGTATATGACGCTGCACCTCAGTGGTCTGACATGTTTTTCCCCTCTGAGATTTTACTTAGGAAATCACAACTATTCATCCCCTGGTCCCTTATACAAATAATAAGTTAGTACGTGAATAATTTAAATAGTTTTTGTACATTCTAAAGCATGGGGGCTGTGGTCTATATTGTTGAATTATAAGTCTCCTAAGAGACCAGGCTGGCTGAAGCTGATGGGCACCAGAGTGTGACAGCAGTTGGGAAGGCAACAGGTAGTTCTTTGCATCACCCTGAAAGGCAAGTCCAGGCCTTAGATAACCTACAGACACCAAGTGAAGTGAGATTTGAACAGGGGCTCAGTAGGGCATGCTCTAGGCATCTAAACAATAGCAGCCTGCTGCTGAATTAATGCATAGTGCTACTTTGAGTTAAATGGCAGTTTAGGGTAAAGTTTAGGAGACCCTTCTGATTGGAATGACTGATAGCAATGAACTTCAGTAGTGCTACTAACACCAGTAATTAACAACCACCTACCTCATTTCCCCCCCTGGTATTTCAGACATATTATGAAATAAATCAGTAGAGTAAATATGGAGCACATTTTATTCTATTTACAGCACATTTGTTATAAATATAATACATTTCTGAAAAGCTTAATTAACTGGTAATTTATCTTTTAAACAGATCAACAGAGTTGTTATAGTTACATAATAAAGGGAATGAGTTTAAATGATAAATATTTCATGGTTGTGAAATAGTGCATTTTGTACTAAGATGAATGAGAAAATATCCAAACAGGTTTCAAAAATTCTGTATTAAACTGGAGTTATATGCAATTTCCAAGGAAGATTGGCTTTCAGTACATGAAGAAATTCTCAACTTCACTTTTTAAAAAGTGAAAATGAAAAATGGGTATTTTAGTTATTCACAAAAAAGTAATTAACAACTGATTGTGTGACCCCCCCCGAAAAGGGGGGGAGGGGCTTTGTCCTAAATTGCCTTCTAATACAGCCACAAATATTATATTAACACATGCTGTAAGGTTTAACAGCAGTAAAGCTGCATTTTGACAAGTATACAAGGAATTCTCTGTTGTTATGACGAGAAGCTTTAAAGTTGTACAGGTATTCCCATTTAATTTATGAAATACTTTTTTAAAAAAAATTAACATTCAGTCCAGGCATTATCAAACAGAAGTAGACAAATAATCATAGTATGTTGGTATTTTACCTACATATTTTGAACAGGTCATATGCCAATGTTGCAGGGTCAAAGAAATGTAGTAAATAACAGTTCTCTCGATGGTTTTTAAAACAATCCTGCAGCAAATTACATGTTGTTAATAATGATCAGTGCTGGCATTGAGTTCTGCTGACTTGTTTCAAACAAAGTAACCTGGTCCGAAAGCTTGGCAAATACACGTGGGGTTCCAAGATTATAAACTCCTGTATGAACAAAACAGGCCTTTAGCTGCAGACTAGACACTTCTTGGCTTTTCAGCTGAAGTTTGTATTGTGTTTGTCCAAGCCAGGTAAATGAACCATGGATTTCAAGTGTTTCTGGACTGGAAAAGAGAAGGCACATGTCACATACCTTCTGTAAGTGTATGAAGAAAGCATAACTGAACCAAAGTGACTGTCAACCAAGCATACTGGGGATCAAATAAAGTCTTACATTTACCAACTTTTTGCTCCTTTATTTATTTGCTTTGCAAGGCAGTTCAGTTTAAAATACTGTATCATTACTGATTTCAACATTTTTATACCTTTTCCTTATAGAATTCAGTTAACAGAAGTGTAAAGCTTACATTTTTGAACATGTGATTTCCTCCTTTGTACATGATTAATTTTGCAAGAGCATATTTACTAAGTACTAAAATGTTCTGATTTAGCAAAGGTGATCAATATGTGGTGACTACCAATATGTGGTAGTCAGTAGGATTAACTGCCCTCTCTGAGATCACATCAGGATTATTACTAACAGAGAATCCTCTTTAAAGCATAAAGGGGACATGGAAGTAAACCCCTGGAACACGGCTCCTCAAACTACAGCCCGGGAGCAGAATCCAGCCCGCCATGCCCATTTATCTAGCTCGCAATGCCCATTTGGACCCACCACGCATGTGGGGAGGCAGCAGTTCGCTTGCTCAGAGAAAACGATCTCCAAGCAACCAAGCCACTGCCTTGCGCGCCCGCCTGCACCTCGCCTTGCTGCACCCCCTCACTCCTGCCTCAGCGCATGCACCCAGCACCGGCAGCTTTCAACTGGTCCCCTGGTGAAAAAGTCTGAGGACCCCTGCCCTAGAACAATACTTGCTTATTTATTCCATTTACTATACTATTGTCTCATACTTTCTCAAGATAGCAAACAGCTCCCCAATCACTTTATCCTAACCACTCTGTACAGTAAGTTAAGCTGACAGTTATTAACTGGACCAAAGGAAGCTGGAAACTGACCCCAGGTCTTTCCACTTCTAAGTCTAACATTCTAGCCACTACAGTGCTGAAGATGCTTGTTACATAACTGCTTCCTTGCAAGTGGAATGTATCATAATCAATTTTTGGCACTTTCTTAAAAACTAGCAATCCAGTTCTGAACACACTAACATCAGTGGGATCCAAAGAAGCGTATTCAGGATGACAGCTTGATGCTGCAGTTCTGCATACATACTTACCTAGAATTAAGTCCCACTGAATCCAACAGCATTTATTTCCAGATAGTTAAGAACAAGATTGAATTGTATGGGTATAAGCATTTGTAAGAAAATAAAATGAAGTATCAATTACTACTATAGTCTGGCAGACTTCTATGTTGACTTGAAATTTACATAGCATTTCCTCTTAGCCTGTAGTTTTTTTCACTAATTTAAATTAACCTTCCCAAGAGTAAGGGGTTTGTGGTGAACAGCTATGTGTATAAACAAAGAAGGAAGGCTTCTGCTTCAAAATAAGAGATACTATTGTTGGGGGTAGGGGTGTGGATGTATAATTTTCATTTGCTTCATTAACATAATACATAATTAAAAATTACCTTGTTGTTTTATGTCTCAGATCAATGATAACATCAACAACAGCCTGAGAGCAATTTGAAAGTAGAAGAGTGACTGGAACGATACAAAGGCTGAAAAACAAAAGTCTTGTTAGCATGTTGGTCTTGGTACCTCTTCTACAGGATCAGCTGCACATCATGACATCCATCTTCTAAGAGAATTGTTTAAAACTATTTTTCAAAAGCATTTGCATCTGAAAACAAGACAAACTGCAGGAAAAAATATACTTCCTTAGAAAATATTTTTGAGCTCTTTCCAGGATAAATAATATAAGAAGTGGTAACGTTATCAGCTGTTTTTCTTGGTCAAGTCTATGTTCAATCTACCCAAGTACTAACTGAAAATCTAACCTGTAAACAAACTTATATGGCTCTACTGAACATCACAGTGGGTTGGATCCAAAAATGTCCTTTTTGTGAATGGAAAAGCACTCTCTGTTCTTGGAGGGAACTGGGATCTACTTGAGGGACAGGAACAGAAAACAATGATCACAGATTCCCACTTCAGTCCCCAACACCACTGCTTACAATGGTCTGGAGGGTTCTCTTAACTTCCCAGAGCAGTTTTCAGGAAGCCCAAAGCATTGCCACCCTGTCCCTGCCTTCAACATCAGTGGCACTGTGCTTGTATACCTGCATCATTACTTTTATAGTAAACGACGCTTGGGGACTGTTACAGGAAATAATCAAAATGAGGATGGGCACTAGGAAAGACTAATAATTAATAAAGGAACAGTGAATTTCAGTATTCATGAAAATCTCAAAGTAAAAGGGGAGTCAGACTGAAGTATGTTCTTTAGGCCTTCTGAGGATCTGACCTACAGATCCTAGGTATAAGATGATAATGCAATATTCTGAGAAACTAATTCCATTATGTGTTTCCTGCAAAACATTCTCTATTTCCTTTCAAAGAGTAACTGAGCTAGGACTGGTATCATGTTACAAAAGCAAATTTTGCTTCTTTTAAAAAAGGAGTTTGTCCCTGTGACTTTTCTACCTAAACCTTACTGGAAGGGCTATTATCTTGGTATTAAACTGCTTGCGTATAAAAGATCAGCAAGAGAGGCTTTTCAAAGACACCTTTCCTTGCAAAAGTCCACTTGTCAGGCATGTTGAAAACAACTTTATCTTGTTTTGTAGCCTAATGCTGGAACGCACTCTGGAATTCTGACAGGTCCTCACTCTGCAGTTAAGAAAGGGGTCAAATAACATCTTTTTATTGTGGCTTTTAAGATTGCTGTTATGGGCATTATGGCTTTTAAAAGTTGCTTTTAAAGTTAAATCATATTTTATTTTATTACGATTTTTATGCGCGAAAAGTTTTGTAAACTGCTTTGGTCAGTTTTAGAAAGGCAGTAGAGAAATACAATAAATAGTACCCAAGCAAATCACTGTGTAAGCATATGTAACAGCATTTGGTATTACTCATCCTGTTACCTTTAGATTGGTGGAGTGGTTCTCCCTTGATGGCATTATACAAGTAGTACATCAGCTTAATAAAGCAGAATGTGAATCACTCTATTGGTACGTGAGCTATTTCCTTCTCTCTTTCATAATTCTGAATAAGGAAACTGAATATTTTCCTCGGTTGGGGAATGAAGGTGAGATTACTCTGCAATGCAGCCTCTGCTCTCCCCTATGAACTCATATACAAGGTGACATTAGGCTGGAAACCATGTGTTGGCCTAAGGAGGATGCAGTACTATAGAGCAGAAGCTATTTCATATATCCTTGCTGGGAGTAGAAACCTGAACAGAAATATACTTCCTTTTCTGCCTCCCCACAAAAGGGTATCATATTTTGATACAGTTTATTTCACAGTTTTGGCTGACAAGTCTTAAAAAGTAGTTTCACATGTTGCTTTCAGATCCTGAAATACTTAAAAATACATATACTCTCTTGAAAAATCTGATTTTTGCTACAGTATTTAAAAGGAATGTAAAAGAATCTTTCTTGTTTAAACAGTTAGATTGGTCATTTATTTTTATTATTTTTAATGGTGTATTTCATTGCATTGTTATTCCACTGGAAAAATATCTGAAGCCTTTCTGAAACTGAACATCTGGATATTAGTACAGTCAATAGTATCTAAAGCCTTCCAAAACCAAGAAGCACTCAAACCTTTTCTGATGAAATGCATGATTAAAGGATTCTGGATAACGTAGACTAGTTTTGATAAGGTTGGAAAATTGGTCTGGAGATGGTTTAACAGGTACTGATGTATTTTCTGGCCGAAAAAAATTTGAGACACCTGCATCTGGTGACTCCTGGAATATAAAAGCATTTAGATAACATTACAAGAAATCACAAAGCATTTGTCATTTAAAAACAAAACACATTCAGAATCCTACATGTGAGAAACAGATTTAAACCAAATAAATTTATGAGAGTTTCATAATTTTTATGAACCAGATGCCAGAGATGCCACAAATTCCAAACAAGCCTCTCATGGTGACACCCAACTTGTTATGTGGCAAAAAGCTGGGAATTAACCAAGAATTGTATGAAGGCTTACTCTTCCTGGTATGTCTCCATATAAAAGACAATAGAGCTAGATACAAAACTATAAAAATGTATCTCATCTACATTTAAGTACCTGTTCCAAGTCTTCCCAGTCAGTATTCCCAAGTATTTTTTTTAAACCCTATAAAAGAAATAAGGACAGAGGTATACAGATCACATTCTAACATAAATTAATATGCTAATTAAGGTTAATCATATATCAACCTGGATCACACATTGCAGCTAACTGTGAATCAAACAACCCACTGTCAGCTGTGACCATGCTGGAGCCACCTTCCACTTGCTTCTACCAAGCAAATCACCTATCCCTGGGTCACTGACATGATGCTGACCTTATTCCAGGGTCACTGCTGTGACTGCATCTATGATTAGTTGTTGGGTTAAATATCTTAGTTTTTAATCCTAAATAACCCAGAGTGCCAGGTTTGCCCTTTATGACAACAGCTCAGGACCAAGGCATCACTGGTTTAGCAAAGGGAGAGCAGGTAGGAGCCTGGATGCTTGTTAATCCCTACAGGAAATGGTTAGTGTGTGTGCCAAAGAACTGCTTCACTATACTTAGAGAGAAAATGAGGTTTTTCCTTGGAAGATGTACGCTTTCCTCAGACTGACTCATGATGTAGTAATAGTAGTTAAATGGAAACCATAATTATTTCTGTTTGGACAAAAGAGACACATAAACAAACAAAAGCTCTGAATGAAGCACGAACATCGTGTCTACTCAGAAGTAATCAGGCCAAACTGCTGCATGACTACTCTGAGCAGAACAAATTTCTGCAGGAAAAAATATTTAATCCTTCAGGGGATTTCTGCCCTACACCTCAGGGAAAAGCTCTTATTTCTGAACAGGAGCTGATCAGAAAAACAGGGATGTGTTTTTCGCTGTTTAGAATGAAAAAAGGATCCCTTCTCGGTGCTTACACATGGGCAAATAGTGACTTACCACAGTAGTAGAGGAACCAGGGCAGAACTCTTCTAGGCAGGTTAGGCCAGAAATTCCAGCTCTATCTTAAGGTGCAGCAAGCACTTACACAGCATAGGAAGTTCTTTGTACCACAATTATGGAACTCCCTCACCTTGTCTCCTTTTGCTAACCTACCTACATATATAATTCTTTCAGAAAGGTTTTGAGCTTAGAACATTCTCAAATCCATATCCGTGCTGTTGTGTTTGCTTTCTTTTGGCACATTACTCTTTATGATTTGTACTTCATGAGAAATTATATATTTGGTACTATTTTTATTATTTTGATTTAAATGTTTGCTGGTAGCCTCTTTGCATGTCTATAGGATGGAAAGGTAGAAAGGCAGAAAAGAAATATTTAATAAAGTTAAAGCCAATCAAACTAGAACCAAATGTGAATTTGGAAGCACATTTTTTGTATTATGAACACTGTGTGTAAAATAATGGTTTCAATATATTTTTGAATTACAGACTATGACAGACTAAATTTTTTCCAGAGTATAAAAAACATCTTTTCAGTTTTCAGCTTATAGATCTACATGTATACTTTTGCACAAACAAACCTCATTTTGTATGTAGGTATTATTTAGAATAATAGAACCATGTAGTTAGTTTTACTCATATCAATATATGAAATCCAAACATATAAATTTTCTAGAACACAGGCAGTCCCAAAGTACTTTTAAATAAAATAAATATCAATAGCTTTACATTGTTAGAATGTACCACACTAAAATACAACTGAGGAATAATAAGTTCTTGCTTTATTAAAGAAATACATTAACTCTTCCATGATACCTGTTTTTGAGGGAAAGAAAAAGCTTCTTTCCCTACTGCATGAAGTGCAACATGATGCTGGCCTTCCAAAATGAGTTGCTTGTTATCTTCCACAACATATGCCTATTTGAAGACAGAGCTGAATTAGATCAGAACATAGTGAACAATGTTTCAAGGGATAAAGTATTTCATTGTAACAGGGTTGTTGTTTTCCCAGATTGACACTGATTAAGAATTTACCAAAAAAAAAAAAACAAACCCAAAAACAAACAAAAACAAAAAAGAGCCATCAAGCTATTATACAGGACAATGGAGAAGTCCACATGGCATGGCAAGCCACCCTGCAGAAAAGCTATGCAGTATGTGTTCAAAGAACAACCCATGGTGCATGTGACAAATGATTAAGCTCACTGGAGTTGACCCCCTTCTCCCTGCTTGGTCTTACCATCAGTATGCTGAGAATAAGGCAGCTGAATCAGTCTTGTTTCATCTCTCTTTGAGCCGAGCCCAGCCCATTTTTGGATGCTGCTGCTGCTCCCCGTCTTTATTGTTAAATCTTAGGCACTGTTGCAATTTCTTCTAGTGACAGTCCCTCCAAATTGCCCAAGCAGACCACTGAAATGTCCATCAATGACTCGATGTCCATATTCATTAGTTTGCAGTGCCAGAAAAGTACACAAATATTTTTGTAACATTTAGGGAGGGCTTCATAATTTGGAGAAGCACAATACTTCTGACAGCTAAAATTAATTTTTTTTCCTGGGCAAGATCCACTTTTTTTGCAGTGCCAGAAAAGTGCACAAATATTTTTGTAACATTTAGGGAGGGCTTGATAATTTGGAGAAGCACAATACTTCTGACAGCTAATTTTTTTTTTCCTGGGCAAGATCCCAGTAAGTGTTTCCTGTCAAGATACAGGAGGTAACATCCATGCAGATTAACAAAGCAAGCCTACAAATTGGTTAATTTGTTTTTCACTTGCCAGTTGTCAAACACAGATCAAGAAAAAAAAGCCACATAAGAGAATGAGAAAAGGAGAAACACTTCTTCCTTTCATCTTCCAGCTTTGTAGTATTTTCCTGACTGCACTCATTCTCTCCACTTTTCCACACTTGCCCCAGCCTCTAGGCACTCCAGAAAGGTAAGACCTACACAATCCCTTTCTGCAAACACTTTCTTTTTATAGCTGTCCAAATAAAGGTTTTTTTGTTTGAGCAGGGTTTTTGAAAGGGTTAAATGGGATGTTCTGACAAATTACATTCTTTGAGAAGTACAATATCTTTTTGTTCTGTTTGGGATTGAAATTTGTTGTCCTGGTTTATCAACTTTTGCCAAAGTATACACAATCCTAAGGGTTCTCCTGGCACTTTCAGTGACTTTTAAAACCACCATTGGGATAGACACTGGATGCACAATACTCTGAAGGGCAAAGGTGCTGCTAACAGACTAGTGCTCCATTACATAAGAATTATGTTGCAGGGTTCCACAAGATTCTCTAACCTTATCCTATTTAGCAGCTACATGAAACACTGGGAGAGATGGATCAATCATATGTGAATGACACCTGACTCTATGGTAGCATCGATTTGTGCTTAATAACTCAAGATATGCATGAGCTTCATGCACGTGAATGCACTAATTTTGTTCCTGTTGCTTCCTCGCTTCACAAGAGCAAGCTGTGAAGCTGCGTATCTTCACTGTTATGTCTGAATTATGTTTAGTGGCTTCCAAACAAACCAGAATATGAAGTCCTGGTTTGTTTGGAAGCCATTAACCATAGTTTCCAAGGTAGGATGCAATAGGAAGTTGTGGTTAACTGTAACTTTCTGGCTTGTTTATCACTTGTGCTAAAGGCAGAGTAATGAAGCTACAGAGGCCTGCACACTTCTTATATGAACATGGTCTAGTTCTCCTTTTCATGTAATCAGGCTGAGGCTATTGATATCCTGAAGAGCTTCTTCCACTTAGTGATGGGCTGGGTATGGGTTAATAAATTTTTATCAGTCCAGAGGCACAAGTAGTAAGTGATTAAGGTGACCATTCAACCAGTTCTGAAAAGAATTGCACTTTTCTGTAAGCATCCAGTTTACAGTTAAGGGTAATATTAAAAATATCCTGGCTTATTGATGTATTGGTGGCATATGCCAGCTGAGGTCTCTTCCAGAATACCATGTGTTATGTGTAAGGCTAATTTAAAGAAAAAAAATGGAACAATGCAACTGATTCAGAATACAGCAGCTAGATTGGGATGGGATGCTGTGGTGAATGCTTATCAACAAATATTTAAATGCCTTAATTGACTGCCAGTTTGTTTCCATGCACAATTCAAGATACTAACGTTCACTTATAAAGTCCAAAAATTTGAGGACTTCAAAAGATTTAGAAGACTGACTTCGCTCATATGAATACGCCTAGCCACTGAGGTAATCAGAAATTCATCCCATTCTTTTCCTTCTGCCGTCAAAAGTTGCTGATTATTAGAAGATTTTTCTCTGTGGTGGAAGTACCACATGTAGAATTTCATCTCCAAGCACATTCACTAGGGGCTGACATTGTTGTCCTTTAAGAAGCATTTTAAAATTATTCCATTATTTTAGCTACCTGGGGAAATACTTCTATTGTTAGACATACCTTCCAAAGTAAAATGATATTCAAATCCACTTCACTGCATTTCTGTATCAATCGGACAGCACTGTCAACAGACTGTTTTGCAGGCCCTTGTGAAGCATGCATACTTTGCTGTGTTTGAGTTCTTTTTACATCAGAATATAAGCTTCGGAAAAAGAAATCTGCACATGGACTGGTTGAACTGATTATCTGTTTAAAAAGAACAACACATTTACTTAGAAAACAATCAATAAAATATTAACACAAAATATAAACTGTGAGTGAAGTACATTCAAGGATTTTCTTTTAGATAGTACTCGCATGGATATTGAAAGTTAATGCCCCTCAAGTCCAAACAAAAGATTTGGGAGTGATACTCTGCCCATTCTTAAAAAATCTCACACTACATCCTCAAATTAGTATTTGAATTTAGGAGCAGTTAGTTCTGTAGAGGCACTCACAGACCAAAAAAGATGTAGATGTGCAAAGACTGTGGCCCTATTCTGTATATGCCTGCAACTGCATGTACAAAACAGAAGTCAGAATTACACTTGAGTAATTATCTGTTTTTAAAATTCCTCCAGGCTCATTAGTTTTTCTGAGTTTGTGCCTCTGCATTGTGCCTAAGTTTTCCAGCTGCTGGAGAACATGCGGAGGAAGGTGCTGTTTCACTAATATCCTGCTTACAGGATCCTGTGGGCAGGTAGTTTGCCACAGTGTAAACAGAGTGCTGGACTAGAAGGACCAGTAGTCTGATTCAGCATGACTCTTATATTTTTAACTAAACCTAATAAATCTGTAAGTAATTTTTTTCTTTGCACAAGTGCATCTACATTCAGTTTTGCTGTATATATTTTTGCTACAGAGATTTAGCAAGGAATTTTCCGCTCCAGCCAAGCTCAAACATGAGAATGCCTTTCCTGTGAGTATTGCATCCTTGCATACAACACACAAAATTAAGAGATACACACACACACATACCTGTTCAGTTCCAAAAACGATATCTGCAAATGTGTACATTTCTAAAGAATAAAGAAGGTGAAAAAGGGTCAGTTCCTCAAAATGATGTATCAACTTTTAATTGTATACTTAACAAATTAAAAAAATGGAAAATGATTGTGCTCACTCTGCTCCAACAGAATTTCCCCCCTCTTCCCCATGTACTTGTACTATTTGTTGTATATTGTTGGCCACTTAAGAGGGTCCTGTTGGGCTATTGAGCAGCATGTAAACTGGAAATAATTAACATAAATAAACTTACCTGATGAATGTTTGCATCTTACTGCTTTCAAGCACAGCTTTCCTTTCTCTCTGTTTGCGAGCTTAATATCTAATAGAAGAAAGGTCCCGATATTGATTAATACTCATGTCATAAATGTTTGGCAGTTCCACCACTGAAATATCTAAGTGGAGAAACCTTAGAAACCTAGCTCTCAAGGAAAAGTAAATAGCTATGTATGCATCACTACAAAGTATTTATAACTTAGATAATTATGGAAAAGTAGTGTGTGAACCAGTGTGTAAAAATATACTTGTAACAGTATTTGGTACTAGAAAAATTACTTTGCTGGAACTCTAGTGACATGATACATATGTGGATCTTTCATTGTGCATTATTTTACAGAAGAAGCAGCTCAGTTCGGTGAAAATAATTATAGTATGCAAATTCTTTCAACCATAACTATAGATTAAATTCAATTGCCAAGTATGGTATGGTAACAAAATTCTTCAACATCTGGTGATGTGTTTAAAAGTTCAGGTTTCAACTCTTCTGCATTAGGAAGCAATTCAGTTTCCACACTGCAATTGCCACACATTGGTTGCTTTAATTTGTTCCATGTACTAGTTTTACCACACAGCAAATTGCTGATCTATACAGGCTCACCCACACAGACAAGGTGGCTTTTAGCACTGCAAACTTTTCTGGAGGTGGGTGCATCAGTGTTGTGATGAAAACTAACAGCTCAATGTACTAAAACTCCTCATCATGCTGGAGCAGCTACAATAGGGTGATCTCCATAAGAAAGCTTCATATGCACAGTGCCCATAGTTCTTGTAGCTGCCAAAAGTTTGAAGAAAAATAGCACCGAAAGATCATGGCAGGAACTTAGAGGAGTTAGCTTAAGTTAGGTTAAAGATGTGTATGTCCCCACTGGAATATTTGACTTCTTTCCTGTCTGAATTGCAGTTCTTTGCATGTGTCACTTGCAACATGATCTACAGGTCACCTGTTTAATAGGAGCACAAAGACTGTTGCATGTGCAGAATGAGTTGTGAGCATGTTGGATTCTTGTTAATCGGGTTAAACATGAATTTATTACCGAGTACATCACTGTGTTGTTTTACTAGATAATAAGCTTGAAGAGCTTATTTTTTTTCTATGTCAGAGAAGTATGATATAAACAGACTAAATAAACATATCTGTGATAATATATGGGACTAAAACAGATAGATGCCAAATACTTTCTAGATATACATATAGTAGCCAACTAAATAACAGCACAAGTCTATTATTCTGGCAATTACATAAATCCTTTTCTAAACCCTTTACTGTGAACTGTAAAAAGAATTTCTGAACAAAACATATTTCTGCCTGCATGGCATCTAGGTGTTTTACAACTCCTCTTTGGCTTTTTTGGAGATGAAGTGGACTGTAGCTGAAAGATGCAGGGAAGCCCCATTCTGTAAGTGGAACTTGACTTATAGTCCTTAGGATTAAACCTTATCACTCAAACGATTGTACAAACAGATATTGAACAGTTATATGACTTATAAAATTCACAAACCTTTGTCTTCCGAGAGATTTATGGACTTCTGTAGCTTCCAGTTTTTACTGTTACTAGATACTTGCAGTATATGAAACTCTTTCACACCAGCTTCACTCTAACAAGCAAGCACCAGAAAGATACGGCATGTAATTCATTTGTCATAAGTGTAAAGTTTAAATTTGAAGAAAATGAGGCAAGTTGCTTTTTTAAAATGTTTAATGTCTGGATATTTGTATATATTCATTATGTTAACTCATGCTTAAAAAAAAAACAGAACAATCACAAGCTAGTGAAATAGCAGTAAACTAGTCTGAGCTTAGTCCTCACTCCAATCTCAGAAATGGGTGTGGGAGATCCCCCTCGTTTCCAAACACATCTGGCCTGGAATAAAGTACACTGGCTGGCCTTTGAGGTCATGAATTCTACATGAAAAGGGGGGCATTTCAAGTTTCATGGAGGGGAAGAAACTAGAAAGGTCAGGATTCAAACTATTCTGAAGTCTGCCACCCACTGAAGCAACCTCCACTAGAGGGGCAAAAAGGCCAATTTAGTGAAAAATACAGGGCAGTTGGGTGGGTGGGGAGGTGAAGATCACCTCTGCCACTTCTCTTGTCCTTCACAGGATAATTATAAGCCTCTGAGTTTGGAAGCATGTTTGAGTACACAACTGATAGGATTCATCCTATGTGATGCCATTCTTCAGTACCTAAAATCACTGCAAGAGCTCTTGCTAAGAAGTTATCCTAGAATGACTTTGTCCTGAGCAATCAATCAAGTGGAATTCTTATTGCAGATTACTCAGTTTTCTTAGAGAGTATAGTTTTAAGATGCTACTGTCTCTATAAAATATATTTTAAAATTGCATGCAAACATTTGCTTTCAGGACAGCAATTAAAAATAGAAGCAATATCAGCTCCAGTTCTGAGCAGACTTACAGTATTGATATTTTCCACATCCACAAAGACTAGCATATTGCCACCTTCACCTTTTTCATCTTCAAGAGCATTGCTTCGATAAACAGTGGCTCGCACAGCCAGCGAACGGCTGGTACAAATAACTGCAGTGTGTCTTAATATCCTGTGACTGAAAATAGGAAATATTTTTATTTCACTGCCTATGTAGCAAATTACCTCTATATACAATTCAGCAATTGTCACAAAACATCACTAATAATTCAAGCTGCTAATATTAAGACAAAAAAGAATCCATTCACTTTGATCTATGTAACCACTGAAAGATGTTTTGCATTTTCATTTTATCCCAAAAAGCTCCATACACTGGATATAACAGTCAAATAGTCCTTATGTACTTAAAGGTATAGAGGTATTCAACAAAGAACATCTAGTCGTCGCCCCTCAAATTTATATTTGCATGAGGAAAACTGAGATCACATCAGGCCATTTGGACATTAAATTAAGCACCTGGATTTCACTGCCCCACAGTACAACTTTGTGAATACAAATATGAATGTTCACAGTACTGATGATGGATTTTGCAGTCCTAAATTTCTTATTGAGCTAGAAGAATGTAGGTGACAACAAGGAGTGTATTTTACTGTGAGGTCAATTCTTAGTACTGAAAAAGAAATTCCAGGGCTTCATATGTGTTAAAAAGCAGGCGTGTTCCAAAAGTCAAAGGGTACAACCAAATTTCAGCCACTATTTTGCATATAATTCTGGATGCTGCACTTTCAGGTTCTAGTAGAAACAAAGAAGATCCTAAAAACAGAACAGGGAAGGGTAGGCTTCACAACACTTAGTAAGCTTCACAATTAGTTCAAGTCCAACAGTGAATACACATAATCACATGGAGTTTCCTGATTTCCAGGGGCCAGTTCAATGACATTTCTTTTAAATCTAGTTTTTCATATTTTTAATTAGGACATTCATATAATAGAAATGTACAACATTTTCAATAGCTGCAGCACCACACATCCATCTATGTTCTTATAATGAAAGAAGATATTACCAACCAAATGCTACTGGTTAAATACATTCAAAATTTGGTGAATACTCCTGTGGAGTCTTACTAATAAAGTATGCCCTCTCTGTTCTTCCCTGAAATGATTTGCTGACTTAAAAGGGGTTAATGCTACTTCTCATGGAAAAGTGTTCAAACACAGCTATGTAGAATAAATTAAAATATAGTTAATTAAACAGTGTTTTGTTTTGTTTTTCAGTTAAATGGGACACTGGTTCTGTACGATATTTTCGTTGACATCTAGCTTTTCTTAACTAAACAGAAGCACATAAAATAGTTAAAACAATGCTTACCACATTTTTGAATGTTTCCTAACATTTTCATAGTAAAACAAAAATTTTATTTCATGAACACCTTCTTCATCTGGCCCACGTAACCACATGGGAAGCTGTACTGAAGCTCCAGGGAGGAGAACGGAATCAGGAAGTGGGACATCTATCACTTCAGGCTGACTTCCTATTCCAACCCCAAAGTCTGAAGCAGCAACTGAGGACATGAGTGAACATTCAGAGGTAGGATGTGTTACAACAGTCTTGTAAGCACTGCAGTGTTCAGATGCTGAAGGGCTTAGTGGTGTCAGAATGGCACTGTTGCCACCGAAAGTGAAGAACTCTGGCCTTTTGGAAACAACTTTCACTCCTGTCAGAGGGCACTTGCTTACATTCACAAATTCTACATAAGTCTTTCGGATTTCTCCACAAAGCAGCTCTGTAGGAAAATTTATAAAGAATACCTGCATTGGGAGAAAAACAAATAAACATAGCTTGACAAACTGCTAAAGCTAAAAAAGGCCATATATCCCCATATAAACAAATCTCCCAGAATTAAGTTCAAGTAAAGGTGATATTCCAAATTAGACTTTCATTTTTACTACCTATCTATAATAATGGCAATATAGAATGGGTATTATTTCATGCAAAATAAATTTCTAGAAAATAGCAAGAAATTAAATTAGATTTCGGAAAGCTCTATTTTTCAGCTACCTTTAGCAAAACAGGACATATTTAAGTACACCTGTTCAAACATCATGACAACCCACTGTGGCTACCACTCATGGTACTTTGTTTTAGTGAAGTACCACAATGAGCCTGACAAAAAATCAGCTCATCATAGCTACTTCATCCCAACTATTCCTCCAGAGAGAATCCCAGGGAACACTGATGGGAGAAACAGCTGCAATCATAAGCTGATTTCTGCTTGCTGCAGTTGTCCCTTTACATATTGTTTTCCAGAGATCACTAAAGCTGGCAAGAGAACCAATATTTGTAGTCCCCATAATGAAGAGCAATGAATTGCCTCTTCGAAGTGACATAGTGTCTCTTTGAAGGGGCTGGCTTTGGTTGCCCAGTATTTTCATACTTGATTGTCTACTGCACTTGTGAATGGGCTCAAAAAGTTTTTTTTTAACTAATGGTCCCTGTTACACAACAGCTCTACTTCACTGACAACACAGTGAAGGCAACTCCCAACCTTGGCTGAAGCAGAGTGCAGAGAGGTGCACCTTTAAAAAGGAGGTGAGGGAGACCTTTCTCCAAGGCAATCGCGGTTTTTTCCAGCCCACACTGCCAGCACTTTAGCAGGGTGGTGGTTCAGGATACAGGGGGAAATTCTGACACCCACCACATGTGACACCAAGGCAATTCAGAGGCAGCTATCAGTAGCACTTGCATATCAGCTACTTTGCAAGAGAAGCAAGGAAGTTTTGCTATTCTCACCAAGAGGCTCACAACAACCCATTGTGGATGACAACAACCCTACAACATTGCAGGGTATCTTGTTTGGGGGAAAAGCCACCCTTGATGAAGCAGTCCTGATAGCACAGCTTGGAAACCTATCCACAATAACAACCCACGCTATACTGTCATATTCAAACAAGGTCAATAAGGCCTAGTGGAATGATCATCTCCACTATTCATGCTTACATTTCACAATAACAGCACTTCCAAACATTTATTTCATATTCAAGCATGCTTAAAGTGCTTGAAGCTGAGTAAGCAGTATAGGTAAGACAACTGGAATTAAAAGGTTCAACATATGTCAAAAGAAGCAATTGAAATATTTAATAATATCATCACTGATCAGCTGTACCTCTAGCAAAGGCATTTCTTCTGTTATGATGGGATCTAAACGTCTATCAGGTCCATATTTAATAGAAGTTTTCTCTTCCTTCGTATTATTCAAGCGAGGACCTTGAATTTCCAAATCTTGTCGCCCCCGTACTGACATTCCAGTAGAGTTATATTTTGCTGAAAAGAAACAAACAGGACCTTAAATTCAAAAAGGGGTCCTTGAATCTGTACCTTCTCTGGTCAATGTATGAACTAGGTATGTCTTCCTTGCCATGATCATCTTCTTGAGAGGCAGTGGGTTCAAACCTCCTACTAGCCCTTGGCTCTTTGGCTAAGGAACAAGGCTGGAATCTGCAGTTCTAGAGAACTGTCACTAGAGCTGTGTGTTCCCTCTGGAATGGGAGAAGAGAGTTCCCTGCAACTGTTCCCCCTCTGGTTGATGCACAGGGCTGTTAATAATTCAACACAAATAGGGTTTGTATCCTTAATGAAATTATGTTGTTGCTCACTTGTAAATGTCTGCTTACATGGTTGCTAAAATTATAGGCTTACTATTAAAATCTCAACTTCATTGTGTAATTTACAGATTGGATTGGATTCTGATTTGCACAGAATTAGCTTGCTTAGCAAAGCCTTCCCACTCTCTTCCTAATATTTCAGGTCTTCACACTCCATTCCATACTGCTCTACAGGAGAAGAAGATTTTCCAGAGACCATGGGGGTTGGAAAAGGGAGGAGTGGGGAAAATCCCCAGTACATGAGCTGAAGGCTACTTGCACATGTATGCATGAATGAATGATCTCCAAAATGTCCTGTCCTTAACAGTCCAGCTCAGCTCTTATAAGTTCAAGGCTGTGACTTCCTTAATCTCACATTTGGTCTTCCTCTTTTTCTTCTACCTTCAGCTTTCATTCCTGCTCTCTCTGAACCTGATCCATTTTTTGTGATATATTATGTGTACAGATTGAACAGATTGGGAGTTAAAATATACCTTTGTCTAACACCTTTGCATATAGGAAGCCATTCTGTTTCTCCATTGTCTGTCCTAACAGTAGCTTCTTATCCACAATAAGGTTCATACATCAGGACAATCTATTGCTCAGTCACACTCATTTCTTGCATAACCACCCATAGCTTCTTGTGATCCACACAGCCTTTGCTGTAGTCTATAAAACATAGATTTATCTTCTTCTGAAATGCTTTACAGGTTACTGAACTAACCATCATATAAACCATTATTAATACTAAACCCAGTTTGACTAGGTTCAGATGTAACAATAAGCTGCAGTTGAAAATGGAACTGGCTGTTTCCAATCTCCCTATGGCTAGGCCATAGGTAAGGGAAACATATTAAGACCAATGCACATAATGCTAAACAATGTACATGGCTGGTGCAGTATCAAAACAGGAAATAAAGAAAGAGCACAAAGATTCTTTACAAGTGCAATCTGTAGAAATAGCAGAAATTTTAAGCTAATTTCTCCTTGCATGCAGGAAAAATCTTCCCTCCTAAATAAAAGACAATACTTCCAATGTCCAGATTATCCTAACTTAGATTAATAACCAAGACATATATAAGCCTATAGGCGACATACCCAGACCCTTCATTCCATTTGCCAAAAAAACAAAAACAAAACAAAACATGGGGGGGGGGGAGAGAACCAGGATAGTTCAACATTCCATTTTGTTCAAACTGGGAAACAAAACTAAATAAGCTTTGGAACAAGCAAGCTTCAAACCATGGATTATTCAAACACAGCCAGTAACTGATTATATATGGCATTTATGCTGGTTCATTAGTTTTCCCTTTTTTAATTTTCTTTTTTATTGTTGTTAGCCTCTGTGTCAATGGTATGATAGTGGAAAGACATGATATATTTAATTTAAATTGGATATACTGGAAGTGGTTCACACTCTAGTCATATGAACTATTCCTAAGCTATAATATATATACATACTAGCAGAATACAGGAATACAACTGCAGGAACGAGCTGTATGGATCATATACATCAGACATCCATGCCTCTCTTTCTTAGTAGTAGTTGCTTCTTCAAGTTCAACAACACAGCTATCAGAATCTAGCACAATATTGCAGTAAATATAGGATAGCCTTACCTGTTTGCAATCCAACAGAAGGGTCTACTCCATCTAGCACTGTAGTACCCTGAATAGTGCCAAGATTGTAAATGACTCCCAGAATATGTAGCTCCCCTGTTTGATGGGGAAAGAGCTTTAGTCTTGCCTGTGGAGATATGTTAAATTTTTGTTGTTGCTAGTGTAGTTATTGTACATGAACGCACTGTTTCAGTTACAAAAAAGCAAATGTCTACATTTACCAGTATACAAAGCTATCTATGATCCTAAAAAAAGTATAAATTTCCATGATGGAACTGAATGGCAACTTTCAACTTAGAGCAGGCAACTATTTACCATTGCTTTCCTTGTAATTCAGAGTTTGAAGATGTTCTTTCATAATCTTGCATGCTAAACTTTTTCAAGCATAATAAAACTGGGAACTGCTCTCTTTAAATGTAAATGGACTAAACGGACCCTCTAAGAGGAGAAGGATTCTCTCTCAACTTCAAAAATGAAAATTAGACATAATTTGCTTACAAGAAACACATATTAAGAAACAACATAGCAAGCTTTTGGAATGGTCAAAGCTTGGAAAGCTATTTATAGCTTCTGCTTCTCAAAAGAAGAGAGGTTTAGCATTATACATCAAGGAAAAATTAGACCCTAAATATATATTAGCTGATGAGGATGGTAGGATTCTGATGGTTGAAATCACAACGAAACTTAAAAAGGTGCTTTTAGCGGCGATCTATGCACCAAACGACCATCAGGAAATGTTTTTCCAAAAATTACATGTTTTACTCTTACAATTGGACTACCAGACTGTGTGTGTAATGGGAGACTTCAATGCAATTGTGGATAAGAAAATGGACCGTAAGAGTGAGATTAAGGGAAAAAAGGGCAGCAGGATACTCCCAAAGTCTTGTTCTAATATGATTGAAGAATTCAGATTGATAGATATTTGGAGACATAAAAACCCAATCTCTGCTAAATATACTTTTTATTCAAATAGACATAGGTTGTGGTCTAGAATTGATATGGTTTGGATAACCCCAGACTTAGTACCAGACTTATTAGAAGCTGAAATAGAGGCAAATGTCTGGGCAGATCACAACCCTGTAGCTATATCACTGAAAGGGAAGGTAATGATGCCCAGATGGAGCTTAAACAAAGCCTTATTAGAGGATAAAAGAAGAGATAAATAAGGAAATGCAAATATTCTTTCAAATAAATAAAACTGAAGAAACCTCTTTGCAAAATGTCTGGGATACAGCCAAAGCCTATGTCAGGGAGTTGATAATAACATATTCAGCAAAAATAAACAAAAAGAAAAAATAAGAAAAAATGGGAACAAGAATTACAGGAAGATCCATCCAAAAAAAACCTTAAGGTCCAAATGAATATTCTAAAACATAAACTGAATCTCCTGGACACAAGTGAACTTACTAAGCAAATGAAATTGACCAAACAGAACTTCTTTGAAAATGCTAATAAACCAGGGAGATGGTTAGCCTATAAAGTAAAGAAAGAGAGAGAGAAGAGACTGATTTCTAAATTGAAAGATGGAGAAGGATGACTGCAAGTACAAAGTATACGTATCAAGAAAATAGATTTCTTTGAAAAGCTATACCAGAATGATGAGATTTCAACTGAGAAAGTAAAAGAATACATCCGAAAGGGAGATTTGCCAAAGTTACCGGAGAAATACCAAGAAGTATTGAATCAAGAAGTAACAATCACAGAAGTAATAGAGGCAATTAAGCGACAAAAGAACGATAAAACTCCTGGCCCGGATGGGCTACCAGCAGAGTTTTATAAATCCTTTGAAGGAATTTTTTGCTATGCTTCTTAAGGATATATGCAATGCAGCATTGTCAAATGCTAAAATACCAAATACTTGGACAGAGGCAAATATCACATTAATACCAAAAGAAGATACGGACTTGATGCAGATTCAAAATTATAGTCCTATATCACTATTAAATGTGGATTACAAAATTTTTGCCTCCATAATGGCAGGAAGATTGAAGAAGTACCTAAAAGACTTTATTCACTCAGATCAAAATGGTTTTTTACCTAAAAGAAAAATGAGGAATAACTTGAGAACTATCTTGGACATCTTAAGAGTATTATGAGATACATACGGAAAAACCAATGGCACTATTATTCATGGACGCACAGAAGGCCTTTGACAATGTTAACCGGCAATTTATGAAGCAACAGCTGGCTCAAATGGAGTTTGGTGAAAAGTTTATTAATAAGATATCAAGCATCTACCAAAGCAGTCAGCTAGGATTATAATCAATGGAGAATTTACAAATATTATAGATATACAAAAGGGTACAAGACAAGGATGCCCGTTATCACCTCTGTTGTTTATATTGATCTTAGAAGTGTTAAACAGAACTATCAGGGATGATACAGACATTAAAGGTACTAGAATTAGAGATGAAAGCTATAAACTGCAAGCATTTGCAGATGATCTAGTTTTCATAACGGAGGAACCCTTTGCAACAATGCCTAAACTCCTACAAAGGATTGAAGAATATGGCTAGGTTACTGGGATGAAAATAAATAGAGAAAAGACGAAATTGTTAGTAAAAAATCTCACACAGGAGCAGAGAAAAACTCTGCAGGAACAAGAAGACTTGCAGATTGTTAAAAAGGTTAAATATTTGGGAATTTATCTTACAGCTAAGGGTACCACTCTGCAAGAAGACAATTATGATAAACTATTGAAGGATATTAAGAGTGATTTGGGAAAATGGGCTAATTTGCAATTATCCTTGCTGGGAAGAAAAGCTCTAGTTAAAATGAATATATTACCAAAAGCTTTTGTTTTTATTCCAAATGATTCCCATAAAAATTGATAGAAAATTTTTTGATGATTTAAATTTTCAAATCTCAAAATTTATATGGAGAAAGAAAAAACCAAGGATTAAACAAAAAATACTTCAGGAGGCTAAAGAGAATGGGGGCTCTGGTCTCCCTGATTGGATGCTGTATTATCAAACTTCTGTCTTAACATGGCTAAAGGAATGGATAACTTTAAGAAATAAGAGAATCTTGTATCTTGAAGGGCATGATTTGCAAATGGGCTGGCATGCTTATATGTGGTATGAAAAGGCTAAGCTACATGACTCTTTTTTAAGTCACTATATTAGAAAATCATTAATGTCAGTGTGGGAAAAGTTAAAGACAAAATTGTATAATAAATTGCCAAGATGGCTTTCACCTATGGAAGCTTTTGTATATCCAAATGCATTGAATTTTGAAGGAATCATAAGATATGATGACATTCTGGATAAGGATGGAGGATTGAAATTGAAGCAAGAAACACAAGAACAGGGATCTGTGGTGGCATAAGGTGCAAATACAATCGAGATATGCTAAAGACTATAAAACGTGGGGCTTTACAAGGACTTAACAGCATTTAATCAAGTGATGCTTAAATCAGATGAGAAAATGATTAAAAGACTATATAATTTCTTACTCGATAGGAGAATGGAAGATGAACAGGTTACGGAAACTATAACGCAGGCACAAAACTTTGGATATAATATTGAATTAGAAAAATGGCAAAAGCTATGGGAGAGAAATATTAAGGTAACATTAGCAACTTCGTATAAAAGAAAACCTGTATATGTTTTATAAATGGTATCTGTTGCCAAATAGATTAGCTAAGATATTTCCAAATATGTCAAATGGATGTTGGAAATGTAAACATAAATTGGGTACTTTCTATCATATGTGGTCGACTTGCAATAACGCAAAAAAGTATTGGATTAAAATACATAAATGGCTTGAGGAAATGTTACAAAAACCTTTAGCTTTTAAACATGAAGTCTTCTTATTAGGCATTATACCGGTTGATATTAGTAAACAAGAAATGTATTTGATTTTACATGCAATTACCGCGGAGAGGATTGCGTTTGCTCAACACTGGAAAAGTGAAGAACCACCCACCAACGAACTGATTCTAAAAAAGATCTTGGACTGTGCAGAAATGGATAGATTGACTTTATCATTGAAGGAGAAAGAAGATACTGACTTCTATCAAACTTGGGACTCTTTTTATTATTGGCTAGAGTAACGGGACTTTGTATAGATTTAAATAAGTTTTTAAGTTATCATAAATGGAAAAAAAATGTGGGGGCTGACCCAGCAGGCCCAATGTTTTTGATGACTGATGTTGATTTTAGTTCTTCTTTCTTTTTAGGATTATAATTTTGAATAAAACTTATTATAAAAAAAGTATAATAAAACTGGTTGCCTAAATGAGGTTCACAAAAGAAAAAATGTCTGAAGTAATTCTCTGAGTAAACAGAACCTTTACTACGAAGTAGTTCCCTGAAAAAATACTACATTGTATTAAACTATTTAAAACTCTGCAGAAAGTACTGTATGCAACTTTTTCACAATCTGCTTCTAGTGCAATGTATTAGTGTGCTGCTATATACATTTTATGTTAATTTGAAAGCAAACTTGGAAAATTATACTTTTAAAGGTGGGATAAAAATAAGATGGACAACCTACCATTTTAGTTTCTTCACTGTTAATCAAAAATTCTGATATCACTTCAGCTCCAATCATATCTTTTCCATGTGTTTCCTAAAATGTAAAAGTGATTTGAAAGCTATTTCCATTAAAGACAATGTCTGACAACATTAAACTGTTGTTAGTAATACATCTCAATACAAATACATCTATTTGTGAAAATAACAGTTAGGTACCCTGACAATTAGGCTGGTTCAAGCGTAAGTATAAGGAAAAGAAAAAGCTTAACATCTTCCTAGCCCTGTACCTTCTCCCTTCCTTCTCCAGCACACCACAAAGAGTGGTCCTGAAAGCTACTCCTTCTCTTTGAAATAAATCAAATCTATGTCATCAAAACCAGGATAAGCCTTTCAAACCATGATGTACTAACCAGTTAAGATGCAGGTTTATTGTTTGGATGATATGCTTAAACCCTGGTAACAAAAACAGAGGTGACAGCTTTTTATCTCCTATGGATGGCTGCATTAGTGATGGAGAAAACAGGAAACGTGTATGTGTCTCAGGATAAACTAAGCTTGGTCTTGTAAAATAAGTCCATGGTTTAGCTTTGTTCAAATGCAGTCCTCATCTCTAATAATTAGAAAGGAAGCCAACATGTGAAGCTATGCATTGATTTGTTGTACAATAATGAGAGCATGTACATTTATTACTAGAACTTCACACATTCTTACTAAAGGACATTTTCTAATTACTTACTAATTCCTTTGTTTCTCCATTATTTTTCGAACTGAAATCCTTTGGCTGGAATTTCCAAAGCAGTGACAAGTCAGTTAAAAGAAGTGGAACTTTCAGTGGATTTCTAAAAGCCACTTCCACAGTTATTGGTTCTATTAAAAAGAAAAGTCATATATTTTAGGAAGGCCATTCTTATGAGTGTAAGCCATGTCATTCAAAATGTAACACTTTGACAAAAACTTTGTTGAAATCAATATAACATGCACTATTTTTCCAGATAAGTATAAATAGTTTACCTTCTATTACAGCAAGAGGAAACCTAGAATTATCAGAAAATCTGTTCAGACAATACTGTGTTGGATGGAAATTGGGAATTGTTACACCTTTGTTAACTGTTGACACAACTTGTTCTTCAAGCTCCTTCCACTGATGTGAAAATTCAAATTCATATTCCTGATCAAGGCTTATGTGTGTTGCTGCCTGTTTTTCACCTAATTATGAATATATTAAAAATGACAATCACTTTAGTATACCAGATAATACAAAATAAAAAACAGTCCATCTTTTTATACTCCTCTCCCTTCAAGTTTTCATTACAAATGGTAATACATTTTTTAACTGGAAGATCTTACAATTTTCTCATATATCTATTTTGCACATACTCTTTTCAAGAAAAGGTATGTACCATAAGGAAGAAAAGAGAAGACCCCCAAAGAGAGTGGAGCTGGAATGAGAGAATTAGGTAGACATGGAGGGAATTGAATTTCACATATTTAACTAGCCAACCAAAACTTTGGATAAATTATTTTTTATTTATATTCTGATTTTCAAACTACTGTTCCCCAAAGCAGTAAATACGGTTAAAACAATTTGGACATCAAATTACACACCAGGATTCCACTGCCCCTATTATATAATTTTGTGAATATAAATTTGAAGGTTCAAAATATTGATGATGAATTTGCAGTCCTAAGCTACATTTGCATGACCTTTTCCAATATCTGCAGACACTATACGGTATAATGCTTACCAACCATTTTCTACTGCATTTTCTACTGCATATGATGCTTTATAAGCAGGTCTGCAGAAACCTGTGGCCTAAACAACACACTGTCTACCAGGACCTGAAAACTCCAATCATTGGAATATTTTAGTAGAAAAGAGGGTGTACTGTTTTAAATAAGGAAAACTAGATGGCTGGTTTAGCTTGCTTTCTAGTTCTGGTGATCTGCCCAGGGCCGTCTTAACATAGAAATGTTCTAACAACAACAACAACAACAACAACAACAACACATGGACCTGATGGGCACTTGCCCATGGGCCCCATACTAATCTGTGGAAAACTTGGAAAACTTCCAAAATTAACAGTAGTTGTAGTTGTCGTAGGGACCCCAGTACACTGCTTTGCCCGGGGCACATAATGCTGTTAAGACGGCCCTGGACCTGCCTGGGATTGCAGGAACAGGAAGGGTTACTCAGCACATGGTAGGCCAATCTATCTGGATACTGGCTGTGTTTTGCTAGCAAAGTGGGTGTCAAATTGTGTAGGCCTACTTTAGAATAATTCTCAGTTCACTTGACAATCATTCTGTATAAGAGGACATCAGCAGATCTATTTACAGAGCAGAAAGTCAGACTGACAGTAATTATGTGGTCTACAACAGGAGTGAGTGAAGGGATAGATCAGTATCTACTGGTAGCAACAACAAAAAGCACTGGTTTCTAAATTAATTGAGTTAAAAAAGTGGCTCCTAAACTTTTGCTGCCCCCCTTCCTCTTGGGTAACAACTATAGCGCCCTCCACGCCTCTTTCTTTGTATTAGGTTCACTACTCTACTGCAAATTTAAAACAACCAATCCAGCACTATACATTTAAACAAATTTATTTCATAAATAAAACTTAACTTTGTAAAACAATGTAAAAACAATTTAAAAAATAAATATGCCTCATCTGTAAATATATTGTCTCATAGTTTTAATGGGACAGAGGTGGTTGGTGCAGAGATACTAATTTCATAAAGCCTAACAAAGTGACGAATTTCGGTATGCTAGCAGGTTGTAGCAGTAAATTACTTAAGAGTATGGTTAGATTTTCCATACCTTAGGTGAATTAATCAAATACCCCTTGCACATATTAGTGAACATTTTAAAAAACTACTGCCTCTTTTTCTATTAATATTTAATGTTGGAAAGATTTTTCAAAAGTGTAAATCCAATGAAATGGTTTTTAGTTAAGTTATTCATGGTAAATTTGTTTCATCTGCTATTTTACACATTTTGCCTTTTTGTTATCTTTGTTTCTTTTGCAGTAGTGTAGTAATCTATAATCTAATGCCCTCCTGCTGTCCCCTTTTTCCTCACTACCCACCTGGATCTTTCCACAGCCCCCAGAGGGGTGGTACTACCCACTTCGGGAGTCACTGAGCTAGAAGAATACATGCATGCATGCATAAAGGGGGAGGCAACAAGGACTTGACTGGGATTCAAACAGGCATGTCCAAACACACACAAGTGCATCTGGTTGATTTTTCCTTCTGTTGGCAGCCCTTCCTGCTGCAAAATGCAGTGCTAAGTGACCCTGGTGCAAATAGTACAAAAGTAAACAGGCAACAAGACAAACAGGCACACAGAAAAGAAAGGGGCATGTTCAGCATTGTGCCATTCCAAAGACCCTGCTTTGGTGTCCAACATCCTATGACTAACTTGTTAATAAGCCTCAGGAGTCCTCTTTCCCAGAAGTCTAGAATCTTTTCACTAGTCTCAGAGCCTGATTCAATCCTGTAGCCCCTTGTCATCTATTTCATTCATACTGTAATAGCTTTGCCTTAATAGAGGGTGTACTTACAATCCCAGATTCATGCTCACAACATGCCTTTTAGCAAAACTTTTTAATTTTAAGAATGCAGAGAAAAAATAGAAATGGGGGTGGGGGGAGAACTCTGAGGAACCCAGAAAGTAGCTGGATTTCCAGCTCTGAACAGAAGAGTTTTAAAACCTGCTAGTGAGGTTAGCAGTGTGCCTAAGTGAATAAGACATAAGGTATAATGGAAACAATTCACTGATGTGTGGCAAGAGAAAGACTGTGGGTAGATAAAGAAAAAAAAAAACACTTCTAACATGTATAGTGAGAGGGGCAGAACAATGAAGTACAAGAAAGAGACATCTCTGAAAGAGATCTAGAAGTAAGGCACAAAGGATGACCAAAAACAATGCAGATTGTGCCCAGTGCCCTGAAAGATTATGAAGGATGAACCACATGACCTTTGGTACAGACACAGCCTCAGGTTTCTTCAAGATAACTGCAACTCCTAAAACCAACAAAACCTTTTGCAAGTTACAAGAGTGCTGAATTGCACTGCCTGATACTTAGATGTATAGGAGCTGCTCCAGTTCTTGTGCTGTTTGTTTCTAGTTCAAACATACCAAGAGGTTGAGCATGGCCAGGAATACCAGCAGTGGGAAAACAACATGCGTAGTCCATGCCTACCATTTCTTGTTTGGTGCTACCATTCGTAAAATGACTTCTACCCCAAATCCCCCAAGTGTCCCTAGCTAATAAAGAACATTAGTCCTTTGCAGCAGTTAAGATGCTGGGCTGGGACTTGGGAGATTTATGTTCTAGTCCCCATTTGACCATGCTCCTCATTGGGTCATTCTGGACCAGTCACTGACCTTCAGCCCAATTTACTTCACAAGGTTGTTGTGGAAGACAGGGGAGGATCATGTAAGCTGTCTTGGGTTCCTTGCAAAGGGATCTATTAAGAATATTCAGTATTCCCAAACCAAGGACTATTAGAAAAGTGCTTCCAGGTTAAAATGAAGTTAGATGGAGAGGAGGCGTTCCACAGTTTCTACACATAGAATGATATAGAATTCGAACTAATCTATGCATATGGCAGAATAAGGAGGTATGATGCTGACATAGTAGACTGCACCATTTCAAACTGTAGACTGCAGCAATTCCATTAAATGGCCTTAGGTTAATTTTTTTAAATCCCTGAAAACAGAAAAACAATACAACAGGAAAACATTAAGTATTAAATTTTACCCAAACATACTAATTTTTTCTTTGTGTGAAGCTTTTGAAATAAACATTTGTTCAAAAGCAGTATTTCCCACCTATAATATGACCTGGTACAGTCGATTCTACCAATTTAGCATCCTACCAACTCATTCTGTTCCAGGTGTAGACCCAACCTTATACTATGTTTATTACATGTGATCTTAATTAACTCAAAAAGCTTACAAAAAAATCCAGACATATATTAACCTTTTGCTGGCTGTCTGTCATGCCCAAAGAACACTCGTGTTGCAGAGCTATTAATATAAGGTAAAGGAAGCTGTGGTGAAGGTCCATCTGGTGATAGCTGACTTACATTCTGCAAGGAAGGAAAACAGAATTTCAGCAACATTTGGCAAGTAAAGATTCACATTTCTTGAATACATGAAAAATTCCCATAATCTTGGGAATAGGAATATATGACACTGGAGAAAGCAAGGAACATTTAGAAATAAATGTTCAAAAGAATAACTTGAAATGCCTCTGAAATATAATGTAAAATGATTAACACATATAATTTATGAATCTGTGTCGCATTATACAACCATAATTTTGCTATTGAAGTTACAGCTTTCACCCAACAGCCTAATTTGCATGGCAGAGGAGTATTAATGTAGGAATCTAATAAATGTATTACAATTTCCAGCAAAGTCACTAGAAGAAAGCATACATGACTTCCAGCTAAGATGGAGATATATCTAGTATTCCTTACCATTACTTATCTTTCAGCTTCAAAATATTAAGCCTGTTTTTCTCTCATAGCTATCCATATCTTTGTTTTGTTTTATTTTTTTTGCTAGACTGTAGTGCTACATATTGTTTTACATTTGCTTGAAGGCTTTGAGGAGTTATATATTCAAGAATATTTGGCAGTCTAAGGAGTGTTTGGGACTGCAGGTGGCGCAGTGGTTTAAACCACTGTGCTGCTGGGCTGACTGATCGAAAGGTTGCCGGTTCAAATCTACACAACGGGGTGAGTTCCCGTTGCTCCGTCCCAGCTCCTGCCAACCTTGCAGTTTGAAAGCATGCAAATGCAAGTAGATAAAAAGGTACCACTTCAGTGGGCAGGTAACAGCATTCTGTGCACTTTGGTGTTTAGTCATGACGGCCACATGACCACGGAGACTGTCTGCGGACAAACGCTGGCTCCCTTGGCTAGGAAACGGAGATGAGCACCGCCCCCTAGAGTCAGGCATGACTGGACTTAATGTCAAGGGGAAACCTTTACCTTTACCTAAGGAGTGTTTAACCATGGCAGCAGGTAAAATATAAAAAAGGTACTGAACTCAACCTTAGCCACATCCTGCCAAGTTCTCTAAGACTTTGGAAGAGATGGGAGGAGGAGGAGGAAGAGATGACAAATATGTTGCTTTGTTGGAAGTATATTTGTTAGGAGACATCTAAGCAGTTCAAGAAGGTGGAACAGCTCCATGATTTAACAGCATTACTTCAAGGATCTGTGAGTTCTATTAAGCAGTCAGATGGGGATAAGAGTCACACATCTGGAAGAAAGAGTGGTTGTTGCTCACAGTCAATAAAGTGTGCCCCATGCAATACAATCTTCACTCATGTTCTGCTTTTGGAAGCCTCTTCTCAGAAAGTAAATTTGGGAGTGCTTGGTTTGTATAAGCAGTCTCCAGGCTAAACCTGCCAGACTATGGATTTGATCCAGCATCAAGTTTTGGAATGTCAAGAAAGCTTTCATCTTGATATGGAATATGCTTACTGTATTCCTGGTCCTCCCCAGAGGAGAGAGAATGAGACCTACTACTGTCAAATTTCTGAGTATATCAACCAAAGAATACCTCTTTCATTCATCAAGGAAGATGAGAGATTCAGTGTATTCAAGATAAGGATAAAAGCATGCTTTATACAGATTTCACAAAGGGAATATCAGATCAAAGAAGAAAATATGAAAAGTATGAGGTGTGGCCAAATCTCTTAATCGGCAATTTCAAATGATTTTTCTTTCTATACTTGTAGTGGAATTCCAAGAGGAACAGAAGAAATCTGCTGAATTTATTTATTTATTTATTTATTAAAACATTTTATGCCGCCCCATTCGCCGAAGCCTATGGGGATTCAAGCCACCTAATTCTGCTTGGAAGCTGCCTTCAGATCCTACAGTTTCTGTTTAATATCACTCTCCACTTTTCAAAAGTTGAATGCAGACTGTCAGGCATTCAGCCATGGTACATAATATATGCAGATAAATTTCTAGGTATTTTGCTCTTTTCCATCTGACTTTGCTATTTTTTCCTTCTCTCTTGTCCATCTCTTGCTCTCCCTTTTCCCTTTCTTTTTTTCCTGTTTCTTTTTAGTTTGTTGTTGTTAGTCGCGAAGTCGTGTCCGACCCATCGTGACCCTATGGACATTCCTCCAGGCTCTACTGTCCTCCACCATCCCCCGGAGTCCACGCAAGCTCACACCAACTCCATCTAGCCACCTCATTCTCTGCTGTCCCCTTCTTTTGCCATCTATTGTTCCCAGCATTAAGCTCTTCTCCAGTGGGTCCTTCCTTCTCATTAGGTGGCCAAAGTATTTGAGTCCCGAAACACTGTGGCCATGACTTTTCTGACTGACTTTGAATTTCTTCGGAGGGTCAGCACCATTTTTATGCCACTGCATGGACTCCTGCTTACTTTCAGGATCATAGTGATGGACCCAAGTTTCATCTCCAGTAACAATCCAGTTGAAAATAGTCGATGGATCTTCACCACAGAGCTCTAAAAACTCCCTATAGCACTTGACTCACACTTGTTTGTGATGCGCCATGAGCATTCGTGGCACCTATCTTGCACAGACCTTGGAAAGTTTAAGATGGTCATGAAAAATAGTAAATATGGTACCAAATATGGTAAATATGGATAGGTTTGTCATCTCTGCTAACATTTTGATTTTTATTCGGGAATCTTCCAATACAAGTTTCTCAATTTTTTTCACATTTTCTTTTGTAGTGGCAGTAACTGGCCCGCCTGAGCAAGGGTTGTCTTCAATGCTTTCTCTGCCCCTTTTAAATTCACTTGACCACTTTTGAACAGTAGATAATGAAGGTGCAGAGTCCTGATAAACAGCCACCATCTCTTCGTGAATGACTTTTTGATTTTTTCCTTGTTTTGTCAGGAACTTAATCACAGTGCGGTGCTTGATTTTCTTCAACATTGTCGCGTCAGTCATCATGGTCATCTTTCACTGAGGATTACTAGGGAACTAATGATCGCACTTATTCGAAATTTTGCATGTATACCCTCAGATAGTGTCATTAGCTAATGAAATAATTAAATTACCCACATCAATAGCAAACCAGCCCAACACTGAGAATACATTGAATGCCAGGTACATTCCAAGTTCTTATGGAATATGGATCTTTACAGCATCAGACTCTCCTTTCACCACCAGATACATCTGCAAGTGTCCTTTCGGTTTTGACCCAGTCATTTCATTCTTTCTGGCGCTGCTAGTACTAGCCCTCTACTCTTCCCCTGTAGCATATTGGACACCTTCCGGCATCATATCTTTTTGCCTTTTGGTACTGTCCATGGGGTTTTCATGGCAATGATGCTCTCTGCATCTTTGCTATGTCCATCTTGGCTGGCCCTGTATGGCATAGCTCATAGCTTCATTGAGCTACATAAGCCCCTTCGCCACGACAAGGCAGTGATCCATGAAGGGGTCTTTTTAGTTAGATAGTGTTAATTTAATTAATAGTATTTCTGGTATTAATCATCAGTGATAAAATTGATTAAAGAGTGTGAGTGGAGTATGATGGATTATGAAGTTGTCTTGCTGGGAGCCAAAACTTTGCTTTGCTGATTTTTTCCCTCTTCTGGACAGATCGCATTTTCTATGTTTACTTTTTACACCATGGCTTTTTTATTATAAAGGACTAGGGTAAGATGCTGGCATTATGAAATGCAATATATCCATAATGAGGCCCTTCTCTGGGAACCCTCCATGAAGGATATTAGGAGGGTGAGTACTTGGAGGAGGGCTTTCTCCACGGTGACGCCCAACCTATGGAATGCTCTCCCCAGAGAGGTCCACCTGGAGCCATCGTTGTTTTTCGGCGCCAGGCCAAGATCTTTTTATTTAAACGCTATTTTAATTGTTTAATTGTTAAGGTTTATTTATTGATTTTAAACTGACCAGGCTGTTTCCAGTATTTTATGTATTTTATTTATTCTATGTATTTTTTTGTATTTATAGGCAGGATTTTAATGATTGTAAGCCGCCCCGAGGCTTATGTGAAGGGGGTGGCATATAAGCTGTCTAAATAAATAAATAAATAAATAAATAAATAATGCAGATTTTGAATTATTCAGAAATGGGTATGTTTTGTAAAAAAGACAAGGTTTGTATGCATAGAAGGGCAAATAATATATTCCTAATAGTTCTCTGTTTAATTTTTTGGAATGATGAAGTGCTGCAGAATCCTAATTAATTAATAGGATTAATTAAGAAAGAAGAAAGTACTTTCTAAATATGGAAACAATATGGCTTCTTTGCAGGAAACACATATGATGGCAGCAGATATACATCAGCTAAGAAATGATTTGGTGGCAGGATTTTTTGCAGCAAATACTTTGACTAGATTTCAAGGTATAGGAGATTTTAAGTCATAATTGATTTTTGTTTTCAGTTCAATAAACTGTTATTGATCATGATGGCTAGTCTTTGATTCTGAATGGAAAAAACAAGAAATTAATGGCTCCAATTAATGTGCCTAATAATGGATGGCAGCCATGTTTCATGAATCTTTCACCAAACTGTTTGATACAGAGTATAAATACCTGATTATGGTGGTGGAGAATTTAATAAGTTCTTATATCTCTTCTTGGACAGGAATATACCTGCCCTTAAAAGGTAAGCAACACAGAGATTAGCAATTCTGGCCAACATGGCAGAATTTGACCTGACTGAACCATGATGAATATTGCACCTAGATCAGAAAGAATGCACATGTATATTGCCTATCCAATGTAATTGTTTTTGGTTGAATTCATTTTTGGTTTCCACATCCTCCCTGATACAACGTAATTTGAAACTCCCTTCAGTTTCATAAAGTTTTGCCAAAAGACACAGAAAGTTATTTAAAGAATCAAAATCCACTTGGAAACAAGGTATTACTCATTGGCTCTTTGCATACAGGTTGACAGTTAAGAACATATAAATATGGATCTTGCAGATTCTGAAGCATGGTGAGAGATTCGGAACATTACATGGGGGCTATAGTATCATGGCCATTGTTGTTGGAAAATACTGCAAGACAGAAAAGGGAATGGGCATAGTCAGTTGTGACTCTACATGAGGTAACACAACTTCAGCAGTACATTTAAACTACCATAAGCTAAAAGAGAGACAGACATGTTTGATCCATAAAGAATAATCCATCTATACTTTTCCCTGTACAAGCCTCACTGGAATGAAAAGGAACTTGCCCTTTTGTGTCCCACATTACTAAGGAGGCGGAAGTATTATTTGGATTTTCTACCAAAAGCTCCAAAACACTTGGAACTCCACCAGAATACAGTATTTTAAAAAATGCTCCAAGCATTAGATGTATCATGCCAAGGAAGAAGTATCGTTAGCATCAGAGATGGAAAATTTCAAATACTGTTGAGGAACACAAGTAGGTAAATTCACAAGTTGAAATCATTCTGACAATTACAAGTTGACATCTTACCCTATACACATAAAGATATTCTCGAAGGAATGCCCCTTGCTGAGCAGCTGTTTGCTTGCTGTCATTGATCAAAATATGTCTGAAGGCAGATATGGCATTGTCAAGTTGCTGAAGTGTAAAAGACTGGCGGCCAATAGTGAAGTTTATATGATCTTCTGCAAGTGACCATCCTTTCCCTTTGTAAACTTGCATGGCTTGACAGTAACATCGCAACGCATGTTTTTTCTGCAAGATTATTATTCTTGTTGTTATTAAATTACCTTTTATACCACTAGTAGACAAAGCATGCTGGGTGGTACACAATAGGATATAAAAACAATAAAATACAACACATGAAACAGCATTTAAAACATTTAAAAACGGAATAAAGTAGCATTAAAATACATTAACTAAAATGAAAAAGACCCAGTCAAGAAGAAAGAAAAAGTACCAGGATAAAGCCATCAGGCTCCTGGATGACCAGTGAGATCTTTAAAGGCCTCCACAGAGAAGGTGTCAACCTGGCTCCAGAAAGATGGCAAATTTGGTGCCACGCAGGCCACAAGAGAGAGGCTGTTCCAAGGCAGAGACCAAAGCAGTCTCCATCTCAAACCCAGGTCTGAAACCTGATTGAAACAGATCCAGTTAATTTGTTTCATCTAGAAGTGCCTGGAGTTGCTCAGCCACCACCTGTTCTAGTCCCTTGCCCAGAAAAGGGAGCTTTGCCACTGGTCTACAACTGGTAGCAACCCTTGGGTTTGACTTTTTAAAAGGTGATATTATCATAGTCTCCTTTAGAGAAAGTGGAACCACTCTCTTTGACAGCCTCCTGGACCCAGGTGCAAACCCCCTCCTTAAATTTTCCAATTAACCATGAAGGGCAAGGGTCAAGTGGGACGAACAGCACCAAGCACCCAGTCCCCATCACTGGGCTGCAAGAACTGAAATTTATCCAACAAAACAGGACCAAAGAATGGCACACTGGACACATCCATTATAGGATCTAGCTCGACTGAAGAGTCCAATTCATAGAACTGAGCAATTTTATCTTCAAACTGTTTTGTAAATTTGTCACAATGAGCTACTGAGAGTTCAATAATTTCTATTGATTATAACAGTCCTTGAACCATTCAGAAAAGCTCAGTTGGACAGCACAGAGAAGACATCATGGAGGAGGCAAAATATTACATCTATATTCTGATGCAATATATCTATATACATTACATCTATATTCTGACTTTCTTCCTTTTACAGGGAATCCAAGGCAGCTTACATGGTTCTCCTCTCTGTTTCATCTACATAGCAATCATCGTATGAAGTAGGTTGGGCCCAAAGTCACCCAGTGAGCTTTATGGCCAAGAGGGAACTAGAATGCAGATCACCCAAATCCCAGCCTGGTACTCTAACCAGTATACCACTTCAAATCTTTTTCATTCTTTTTCTTCATTTAGTTTTCATTTATGATAGCTTAGTGTTCACAAATGAAAAAAGTGAGATATTAACTGGTGAGATATTGAAAGTGAGATAATAACTCACAGCTGTGGATCTTTGCAGGTTATTTAACCCACAATAAGCTACAAGACCCAAGGGCACCAGCTTGCATAAGCAGCCCCCACTTGGGAGTTGTCTTACTGTGGAAATCCTATGAGCATGGATTATGCAAGGATTAAACAACACAATTTACAAGTGGGGATTGCATGTTCAAAATGGCAATTGTATGTGCTACAATTTCACCATAGGTTAAATAACAGCAAACAGCCTAATTATGAAAGAAGCCCTATTACTAGAGTTAAAGCAAATCTTTAGCTTTCAGCAGAAAGCAGTTTAGGGCAAAGAAGATACTACTCATGCCTTATAAAGACCCACAAAGACTGGTCTACCCATTTAGCATTTTCCTAGACAAAGAATTCTGGGAATTCATAGCATTCTTTGGGGAAACAATGACACATTTCTCTATTTATAAACCCCCCATAACCCACTCCTTCACCAAAAACTGTCTCAAAGCAAGTACACACAGTTCATGCAGTGAATTGTTATAAATTATAAAAGGAAAAATGATGATAGACAAACATGCATAGTAATACAATATCCAATTCAGCTGTTTTAAAAAACCTGAAAAGGGTGTTTGGTGCTTCAGGCATAAAACTCTGAGTTCAAGCAATGCAACAACCCATAATAATCTTAATAATAAGATTCAGTATGGGTAAACATGTCTTGTCATTGAAGCATGGCTTATTGTGTTGTCTAAACCCAGATGTACAAACAAGCCATGATTTGTGAGCTATGAGCAACTCATAAAAAGAACCCAATGTCTGATGTTAAGTTGTGGATTCTGGGTTGTTCATGTTTAACAAACCATAATTTGTTAGCACAGTGTTCAATTGGAACAGAATTAGGTATAACATTGATGAAGGCGCTAAAACAAAAATGCATGTTGGAAAACTATAAAATCAATTATTATTGCTCTTACCTGCCCTGCTTTACTATACCTATGGCCAGCCAGAATCATATGAAAAGCAAATTTTCTAACCATAGGATTTTTCATGTTTATAAAACAGTGTGCAGCTTGCTCCAATAACAGTGCACTCCGAAGATCTGAATCCTATTTAAAACAGTGAGTAATAAGACAAAAGTTACAAGTAAACAGTAAAGCATAATGCTAAAAATATCACAAGAGAAGGCTCTGAAGTCCAAAACTATGGAAGGACGCATCATATTATGGATGCACTGAAAATGTGCCTATTCTTTACATTTTCACTAGCTAGCATTGAATAAATTATATTCACTTTTCACTGCCACACTTTCCAATTGTTCGTATTTTTGAATTGTTTTAATTACTATGGATATGTTATGGTTATTATATTTTATGCTGTAAATCATACTGAGAGTATTTGCTATAAAATGGTCTATAAAAATTTTTAATAAATGCTTCTACCATGTGATTCAGGAGGTAAATACACAACCAAGTGCCTGTTGGTTTTTGTTTACCTAACGTTTGTGCCATTTCCTTTAAGCACCTTTTGTGCTTAAACAAGTATTTTACATTTTCACAGTGCTGAATATCTTGGGTATATCAAGTGGTATCAAGGCCACTTAAATTCCTTTTGATGTCAGGGTGTAACACACCAAAATGTGGAAAAGACAATGTGGGGGGGGGGGTGAATACTTCTGCAAGGCAGTGCAATTTAAATTTGCTAAAACAGAAGAGCTTTCCAATGATGTCACTTAAGATGTGAACAATTTGCTTAGGTTTTATGGTTAAGATATGCTGGTATATACATACTTCCTATCTTTATAGTATATTTCTAGATAATGTGGGTTTGTTTATATGTTGCTTTATTATATTGTTTATAAATTTAAAATAGTTATCTCTTTTTTAAAACTGCACAGATGATTTCTCATGTACCACAAAAATTACTCAGTATTGCACTGGACAAAGCAGAGTAAGCATACTAGAATTACCCACTTTTCTGATTGAATTTAAATTCAAAGTAATCTTGTCATTTTAAAACTGGGCATATTCTTCTTCCTGTTTTGGTTCATCACTCAAGACAATTAACAAAAGCTGTGGATATTTACTGTAGAAAATGCTTATAGAATCAAAAGTAATTCAAACCTAAAAATTGCCTTCCATAGAGATGTTCTTCTCTTTTGTTTAGATATTATTAAATATTCTTAACGGTCACGATATTCCTTCTGAATGTTATTTACCAATACTCCAGCACAGTAATGTTTTGATACAAATGTTCATGTTCAGAACCACACACACTGACCAACATGAATTCTAATATTTTGATCCATAGTCAGGTATTGAAACAGACTGGTAACAGAGATGAGTGATGACAGATTTAACACACTGCCTAATCCTCTAGCTACTCCAGCTAACATTTCTAACACTCACCATTCCCATCCAAGCGCTCTGCTGCCATATTTCCACAGAAAAATTAAAAACAAGAATGTAAGCTTTAATATATTTAAGAAAAAACAAATGAGAAAGGGAATACATATTGAATATTATAAAGTAACTCTAAGTTGTAATTCTGAAACACTCAAGAAAATCAGATCAATATCATCTATATTACCTTACTGATAGAAAATATAAAGCAGCTTATACCACTATTAGCCTATTTCACAGCTTGAATGTGTATGTTTTCATTTTGCAGAGAAGAAAATGCATAATACTGTACCTTATGAAAACTATGCTTATTTTAACTTTCCAACAAATTTCTTTCAAAAAAGGCTAATAGAGTATTTTAAATATGTTTAATGAAAAAGTACAAAACTTTATTCTGTGGCATGTCTCATGATTTTCCCCAAAATTAATAAATACAGAATACCTTTCTGCAAATCAGTAGTAAAAATATTTGACCATCTATAATCTTTTCTTTCTGGGCATTATTCGATCTACCCAGAAAGTCACATCCTAAATAATAAGATTTTTTTTCTTTTTTAAAGTCCAATTCATTTCAATATACAAGAAAGTAAATATTCTTCTATACCTCACTGGTTAAACGTATTAAAAGAGCAGCTGCTTCTGAGTATTTGCTTTGGCTTTTTAGAATTTCAGCGCTGAGCAACACACATCTCTCTGCCAGCATCATGTTCCTAAATAACAAGAAATGGAAATCCAGTTGTTTATCTTGAACACGTATTTCATGAGCGGCACCTGATAGATTAGTATATGAATCTGTCAAATTTTAATTAAACAGAATAGCTATAGCACCATTTTATTAATACTAGTCTTATTGTTTGAATAAATAAGCACGAACAAGCAATGTCACATATAAGTCAATCTGCTCTATTACTATACAGTTTTAACTTGGTTTCTTTTGTATTATTATGGCATTACATTTATATCCTGCCTTTCTTCCTCTTGCAAGGAACTCATTGGTAAAACTGTGACACAATTCAAGAGCTGCTAGTTAATTAATATTCTAAGTAGTAATTAGTATATTACTAATTACTTAGTAATAGTGTGTATTGCTTAGTAATATTAGTGAGGAACCCAGTCTGTGGGTAGGGATGCACTGTATACTTTGGGAGACAGCAAAGACTGCACATGTGCACCTAGCAATGCCTGCAGGTTGCACACACCATGCTTAGCACACAGGAATTGCATACCTAGCAGGAGACTAATTCATCACAATGAATTTTTATATTGTATTTTTGTATTTTTAATGTTTATATTTTTTAATTTAAGATTATAATTATTTTAATTTATTGTTGTAAGCCGCCCCGAGGCTTCGGCGAATGGGGCGGCATAAAAATGTTTTAATAAGTAAATAAAGGGCCCACTAGTGCTTGTGAGCATTTGCAGATTTCATCTCAATTCGCCTCACTTCCTTGACCAAGGTTAAGAAGGGAAAAGAAGTGCAGCAAATACAAGAGAATCAGCCTTTAGTTACTAATTCTGATTTTAGAACACACTTTCATGTCACTAATTCTAAGTTACCATGAACGCATTTGCATTTGTCTTTGCATAGGATAGAAATAACTTTGATGCTGGATTTTGCCTAATAATGAAAATAATTGCATTCAAAAATTAAAAATGCAGCTTCCAATACTGCTGGTGTTATATGGAGTTATCACATACTACCACTGAGCAATGAAAAGGGTTCAGTAAGTTTCACAGTTTAACTTCTGCCAGGAAGAACTGAAAAATAAACACTTACTTGCAGATATCTCTGTAAGTCTGAACTGCAGTATCCATGTAATGAGCAGGATATGGTCTTGGTGCTCCTGGCTGAAGAAAAGCAGATACTGCTGCCATTTCCTATTAAATAAAAATATTATCACTTGTTTTTGCTACAAAATTTTAATCACAACAAAAATTATGTGCATGTAAATTTCAATAATGGGTCAAAAATATTTTCAAGGAAGCAGATTGAGGATTTCTGTTTCATGTGGCACAGGGCTAAATAATTCAGTACTATACCTATGGCTGCACTAGATACTGTCTCTTGTTACTAATTTTCACATAGTCTCACTTCACTTATTGCATAAAATCCTAAGAAAATACTAAAAGTCCATCTAATCCAAGGGCGGGAAACTTGTGTCCTCCAAATATTTTGGCCTACAAACTTCTTTGCCCGTATAGCCAATGGTGAAGGATGATGGAAGTTGTTCCTCTCCATATGTTTTGGCCCACAAACTGCCCACCCCAATTGAGTCCAACATCCACTTTCCCACAATGTCCCAAAATATGTATTTTCCACAAGAAGGGCATGGATGTAACCACCCCGTCCTGCTGTGTGTGTCTCTGACAAATGGCATTGGGAGACATACTGCCACTAAATATGAAGACTCTATTTATTAGTCATAGTTAATAGTCACTGACAAATGTATGCAGCTATGTAATGCCCTTTATGGCATCACCATTTGTTATGACAACAACTTCAAAACTTTTGGGATAATAATAATCTTATTCCTAAGTGTTTATAATTGGGGTAAGTTAATATGGTTTACATATGAGAAACAATATGAATTCATAAGGTACCTCATATAATTAATGTTCAACTAAACTTAGCATCTGCAAAGCAGACATTTAGAAGGAAAAAGGCAATTGTATACATATTCAAAACAGTCAAGCTAATGCACCAACCAGTGCTCCTGCTGCGTAAAGCATTGCTTGATCATTCAGAAAGTCTTTCTTTGCTGTATGATAGCAACTGTATGCAAGTTCATAGTGTTGCACCAAGAAACATAAATCTGCCATTTTCCTAATCTGAAGCTCTGGTGCTTCTGGAGGATACCTAAAAATAAGAATGATGTGAAAAACAATCTGATGGAAATAACACATCGCATTCATATAAACACAAGAAACAAGGTCTAGCTATTCCAAAATTCTGCTCCCCATTCAATTTAAGAATTGCTTTCTAACACACATGAGTAAAACAAGAGTTCCACTCATGGAACAGGTCTTTCTGCCAGCAGAAGTTTCTTCCATCCAATGGGGAAAAACTTTGAATCTAGTACACCAACTAGAGCATCATTTTAAAAAAAATCACTACTAATTTCAATGATACCCTGAAGAAAAGTTTTTTTTCTTAAAAAAAAAAATCAGTATATCCACATCCATTGCAACTATAATGGAGTTACTGTCATCATAGATAAAACAGGATTTTTTTCAGAAAAACTACTATTTCTTAACCAGCAGTAAAAGGTAAAGGTAAAGGTTTCCCCTTGACATTAAGTCCAGTCATGCCTGACTCTAGGGGGCAGTGCTCATCTCCGTTTCCTGGCCGAGGGAGCCAGCGTTTGTCCACAGACAGTATTCATGATCATGTGGCCGACATGACTAAACACCAAAGTGCACAGAACGCTGCCCACGAAAGTGGTACCTTTTTATCTACTTGCATTTGAATGCTTTCTAACTGCAAGGTTGGCAGGAGCTGGGACGGGGAAATGGGAACTCACCCCGTTGTGCAGATTCGAACCAACGACCTTTCGATCAACCAAGCCCAGCAGCACAGCGGTTTAAACCACTGCGCCACTTGCAGTCCCTAACCAGCAGTAGAAGTTGTTAAATCAATATTTTTATGCAGTTGAACTACATACCAGGCCAAAAAAATCTACAAGGTTGCTGTGGTGACTCAGTTACCTTTGTTCTTTAAACAAACTATTATTTTGTTTGTTTAACCCAGTTTAGAGAATCACATAGCGAGTTAATAAACTGAAGTTTTCAATTAATCATGTTTTCACATTACATCTAAATATGAAAGGTACCATTACCAAGTACAGAACAACCCAAGTTCTTAAACCAACTTTAACCTCAGTAGGTACAGCCTCCATGTTTAGTCATGATGGGAAACTATGATTTATAAAAGAATTTCAATTTTAACTGTTAGGTGTGGTGCAAAAGGCTTATGCACATCTATGTTTATTAACTAGAGAATTCACCATGGCATCAAGATGATCTGTTTTTCAATGTCAAAAAAAGTGACAGGAAAACATGGAAATCAGCAGAGTGAAACCCAGTAAAAGGAAAATACAGTGTATTTTATGACTATGTAGGTCTACTCACAGCAAACCAGAAGTGCTTTTCAGCTCATTTACACTCTTCTCTGGAACTTTACTGCCACTAAACCATTTTTTGGTTGCAGAAAATAGTGATCGACTCAGGCCTTTCCTGGATATTAACTGAAAAATAAGAAGGAAATATTATCCCATTAACTGTAAACACAGTGTATTTAATGTTGACTAAATAAAAGTTCTCAGAGTGAGTACATTTTTCATACAGACTACTCTTGCAAAATCAAGAACTGAAATGTTTTCATATAGCTTTCAGAATAGGAACATATTGAAAATAAAGCTGCCAATATCTGAAATACTATACAAATATCTGAAGCAACTACACTTGGAGTATTATTCAGAATTCTGGTTCGAAAACTTCTATGGTAGAGTCGGAAAAAAGCAAAATGGTCAAGGGGCTAGAGCTACTTCCCTGATTTGGAACATTTCACGCTTAGGGGAAAAGACAAACAAGGAGAGACATAATAGAGGTACATGCAATTATTTGCAGTATGGAGAAAGCAGATGTGGAAACGTCCTGCTCTCTAACTTAATGCTAGACCCTCGGGGTCATACAATGTAGTTAACTGGCTGAAATTCAAGGCAGAATTCACTTTTGCAAGATGCAGTGACTGCAGCCAACTTGGAAACCTTTAATAGAAATTACATAAATTCATGAAGGATAAGACTATCAATAGGGCTAGTTGCACTGAACTGTCAGAAATCATTGGTCGATTAATTAACCCACAATTTGCCACCGCTATATACAAACTGGGTCAATAACTACAAGTCATTCTAGCTACATGTTGCCAGTGCTGGGGACACTAGCAACTGGGTGCTACCAAGCTCATGTCCTACTTGTGAATTTCGCATGAGCATCTGGCTGGCCACAGTAGGGACACAATTCTGACCTAAACAGACCTTTTATGTTTTTCTCATGTTCTTAATACAGCTTTAAATATTTCTGTAGTTCAGGACAAAGGTCTGGTGCAAGCATAATCTCTAATTACAGAGGAAGGAACTGGCAGAACAACTCCTGCTTTCTTATATGCAAATCCCTCCCTCCTTCCTCTCAGAAAGAGGCCTTAGAGATTGCACCTGTATTTGTCTCATCCACAATTAACACTCATCAAGATTCCCAACATAAGCACAGCCTAAAAGTAAGACATGAATCTGGTTTGTAAACCACATATAAGTGGACATGGATATACAGTTCACTATAGTTAAAGCCAGTGCAGATGTGACCCTAAGGCTCCAGACTTCCCCAAATATGAGAAGGAATCATGAACTTGATGATAACACCACCTCAAGCAGTTTTCTCCTCCTGCAAAATCATTGGATCAAGAGAGAGTGGCCACACTGCATAGTCTCCTAGTTCTAAAATAGGTGAAGCCCTACAGAAAACTGTGAGTGGTAAAATATTAGCTTTGCTAGCTGACAATGCAAGTAATATGAAAGCAACATGGGGGATCATAATGGATAAGGATCCATACATCAGTGTAAGGGGATTTGCAAATTATGGACTAAACTTACTTCTTAAAGACATGATGGAACTGGACACTCTCCAAAAGATATACAGACAAGCAAAAGTAGTAATAAAACATGTAAAACTATTCACAATTGCAGTTTGCAAGAGGGATATAAACACTTTTGAGAATCTCAAGGCATCTCCACTTACAAACTGTGAAGTGAGCAATCAAGAAACAAGAATTTGCTGCCCATGTAGCTATAAATCTATTGCATCTAAAATTCAAAGGCAGGAAAGTGATAATAGCAATGCTACTGCATTTGCCTGGATTACAAAATAGTGTTTAAAACTTGCTTTTGGAAAGGTACTTCCAAATGCAAAAGTTATTCAGGGATTTAGTCCAGGTAAGCAATCTGGGATTCTGCCAAACAGATGCCTCCTGTAATATGGTGGCACACAGAGTCTCTAACACCTCTTACTTTCCACCTTCTTCAGATTCTTCCAACCTTTGTATTACAAGAAACTGCTCAATGTTTACAAATACATCAAGTCTGAAACCAACTGATGTGTAAAAGGGTACAATCCAGGCAAACCTTCAGCTTTTAGAACTCCATGATAACTATGATGAAGACAAAGATGAAGAAAGAGAAGAACTAAAAACTGAAACAGTTTGCAACAGTTCAGAAAATGAAACTGATTCAATTTTATACAACTTCATTGAGTCTTAATTCAACCCATCCTTTTTTCCTCTCAGTTATTTTATGCAAATGATTGCTTTATGTCTGCTTGACATTGGGAAGGATAGTATTGGAGCGATACAATTTTATTTTAACTACTGTTAAAATACTGGTGTTTTCCTCTGTTTTATTGTTATTTGCATGCTTTTCATATGGTAAAACCAAAGAGGCTCCTTACACTTGAGTGTCCCTTAAAGTTCAGGCACATTCAAACATTTTAAAGGTAAATTAAGTTTGTAATAATTGTCTGAGTAAGCTGCACTTTTAATACCAAACATTATAATGTTATACCAAACTAGGTTATAAATAACATATATTATGTTCCTGTAGTTATGAAATGACTTTCAATCTGGAAAGAGTAGCAGTGTCACATTTTTTCAATTTTTCTAAAAGATTCTTATGTATTTTTCAAAAAAAGTTCCCTCCTTATGGCTTCAAATCTTTCCAGAAATTTTACATTCCTTGTGATGTGCCAGAGCTAGCACAACATAATGTGCATCAGCAGAATGACATCAGCAGATACTGTCCTAAATGTTGCACTTTTTAAGCCAAGCAGATCTTCATCTAAATTTAACACTATTCCTAGAAAAAAGCTGAGATGGATGATATGGGAACTTATGTCCTATCAGAAGAGGAACGTTGCTTCATAATGCTACAAAAATCCATAATAATACAGATTTTAAGATCAAATTAGTGGATAAACAGCAGCACAATAGTTACAAACTGCTTGAATTTGTCTAAATGAAACAAAGTAGCAGCAATTAGGTAAAAGACTCCATTTATAAACCCCAATCTTCATTCTTAATTGAAGCAATGCTTTAATAATGCTGTGAGGACACAAACTACTCAGACATGATTTAAAATCCTCTTCATTAAAGGAAACCTTCTGTAAACCTAAAGGCCTCAAGCAGCAGAGACACCTACAAACAGAAGTGCAAAGGTTTTGAACCCTTGCTCATTCACTACCCCATACAACTGTTTTTGAAATTTTCCCCAACCCTCTGGAGCAAATATTCAGAGAGCTACTGTGAAGAAAAGCAACAAATTTTATCCATTCCTTTCATTTGAATAAAAATCTACTGGATTGAAGGCCATGGATGGATCCAACACAATAGATTTATTTGTTCACCAAAAGAACTGTGAGCCAAGAACTTATAATTAGCATGTCACAACAACAGAATTTAAAACATTATTGTGATTGACATAGCTTCCAGAAATTCTGCCAGGGAAACTGTCATTCATTTATATCAAACAACTCAAGCTGTTACAATAAAATTTGAAATTGCTTCACTGTAAAATGGAGAACCCAATTAGTTTCTGTCACAACAACAGAAGCAGCAAGTGATGTCCTCAAAAATACAGAGATTATTGTAAAATAGTGTTTTTATGTAATTACTGATCACAATGTCAACAGATCTTGACTAATATTTGTTTGGAATTTGCCTTATAATTTCAAGATGCTTTATTAATGCTATGAGGCACATAAACTATATAAGACATTATTTTAAAACCATTTACTTTGTAATTAAAAAAGTGCAGTTACACTTAAAACTGTAATACCAAGAATTAATATGTAGCCATTTCCACATCAGATGGCTATTTTAAAGAAAGAATTTTAAACAATGAATTTTCAATATTCTTTGATCATGGCTTGTAAAAGGACAGGCAAGACTCTCCTCTCATTGGTGAGGAAGGAAGTACACACAATGGTTGGGTTCCCAAGGAAGTCTGTGAGCTCATACTAAAAGTCAGTGTAGTACAGTACTTAAGGGTGCTATGAGTGAAATTCAGATCCTCACTTGAACACAAAGCCCTCTGAGTTACCTTAAACCAGTTGCCAATCCTCAGCTTAACCTAATAATGAAGGGAGGACCATTCATGCATGCATTCTGAGCTCCTTGGAGGAAAGGCAAGGAATAAATAAAATATATAAACAAAACAATGTGTTACCACACACAGTTAGAAGGCAGCTGTTTTTCTTTTCTAGCTGCAACCCCATGTTCCTCACTGATCTCCAGAAGCAGCTTATTGCAGGCACAGGAACTTAGATGGAAGAGGTCAGCCGCCATGCACACTTTACATAGCTCTAAAGAGCTCAACCAATAATGTCAACATCAGTATTATAGTTTTCAACAATACTGCGAACAGTCCTTGCATTACCTACACATTTGAATGGACAAGGCCTTTGTATAAAGTCGTATTCATATTACAGCACTAATAAACTGTAATGCTGTGGACACTTACTTGGAAAAAAGGCCCACTGAGCTTATATCCAATCAGCAAGCAAAGGATTTGGCTGACCCTGATACAGGTTAACAAGTATCTCAATCTATTTAAATTTGTATTAGCTAAGCAAAAAAGCTACTTCGAAGTCAGAATGGCTTACCTGGTCATTAAGTTGCCTGATAGTTTTCTCAATATGTGGCAAAAGTCCTCTAAAAGTGAATTCCTGTATGAACTGCCGAATTCGATCATGATCTGTGAGTGTCAAACAGGTGCCATGAGGTGTCCATGTATTTGACTTCTTCAATTCATGCATAGATGCATTTGGTTTTACATAATCAGTGCCATCACAACAACTATTGTCGCTATTGTGATCCAATTGGAGTGGATGAATCTTATAGTTATTTGATAAACCATCTACTGCAAAACAAATTATGTAAACAATTACTCATTATACTTAACTCCAATTACAGGAATTCTTTTTATATCAAGACTTTACTAGGTTGCTGCTATTAATTTATGCCATACTTTCCTACAAAATATTTGTAGTTATTAATACAGTGTTTCATTCTCTGTGTTAAATCACTTGGATCCAGAACTGTATGAAGGAGAATATAATTAACTTGATCTCCCATGGGTGAAGAGCTGATTTTTCCTGATTTACTATCACCTCTGCAATCCTTAAAAGATATACTCTAGAGGCATGGTGAGCCCTCCAATATAGCAATGAAGCAGTGTTGAGGATTGCAAGGGGAAGGAGTAATTAATTAAAATTGTTCCTCACACACACCTCATATCTCCAAAATAGAACCTTCAAGGGATTCTGGTTTCTTTGATAAATGGAAGGAGCCCTTCTGTTAACAGATACACAGGTTTGCATACAAAACAGAATATTATGCTGCTACTGTCACTCCCAACTTACGTTAGTCTATGTTATTAAAATAATACCAGTGTTCATTTTAAAAAAATGACAAATATCCTACCAAGTTACTGGGGAAAATCCATAAAAACACAGAAAAGAGGGGAAATGGCAAATCCTAGTCTATTTCAATGAAAGCATTACCACATATAACTATAATATCAGTCTTGTGCTTTGGCTACATTTCTACTGAGATGTCTACAAAGACACACAAGCAGGTCATAGGTAGCAGCTATATTTTGATTTCCTGACAGTAACTCAGAAAGCAGAAGCCATATCTTAACTGATATTAAGATTCTGAGAAACAGTAAGACTTCTATGAATTATGTGTTTACTATTTGCTCAACTACTTCAGTGATATTTTTCTTGTGTAAAGAAAACACTTGTGAAGAGAACAATGATCCCTGTAATGTAGTGGATCCCTGAGTGAATGAACACCAACACTGTAGCAAAAGCTCTTGAATAATTTATCAGGAAACCAACAGCATCCCTATACAGAACTTGATACTCTTCTGATTGTTCAAAGCACATCACATATATTACCTAAGTATTCCTTAGAAAAACTGCACAGTAGACCAATAAACTATACATAGCTATTCTCATAATTCAAATGGGGGATGAGGCCAAGATATAGCAGATTGCAAAATGTGACCTTGTAAATTCATAGCAGAACCAGAGATTACCCAGCTGCCATACTGTTATATGAGTTACACTGGTACAGCTTGATGAAGGCAGGACAATATCAAGCACAAATAACTGAGATCTGTGGTATTGTGATGCTCACTGGTGCGCGGGACGGGGGGCGGGCAGGGTTAAGTAAGTTGCTGTCAAAAGAAATATACCTTTGGAATCATTATCTAACCCATCCACTGGTATAAAGTGATCAGAATTCTTATCTGAAATGACTGTATATGGGCTATCTTCATAAGGTTCCTGCCAAGATAAAACATACAAAAAGGTTTCAACTTTAAAATGGCAACATATTCTTTTAGAAATCATTATTTTCCTCCAAATAATTTTGCTTACTTTATTTTGAATATCTAGAACTTGGTTTAAATAAAGTGACATGAGATTTTCACTGAATTCCAGATCAATATTTGTACAGCAATCTTCCAAGAGATTTACACTGACTGAGTTTGCACAAGACAGAAACTGATTGTGGGCAATTAGCCATGGTGGGTAGCATGTGGTGTGAACCTGGAGAAACAAGCTAGCCTGACAACACCTGACCTAATGGTTGCTGAACCCATGATAGGATGCTATATGATTCAATCCCAGAAAAACAACAACCCCACACTGGACTGAAGGAAGCGACAAGTACCGCTTGCCACTCTGCATTCTTGCCTGTGCTACTGTGTCAGCAGCAGCCTCTCCACTGGTGTCCAAGGGGTACTTTGGAGCAATCACCACTACTATGCCACTTTTTTTCTGGCACCAGAACGATGCACAATTGTCTGCATTATTGGAGGGGAGGGGTCCAGTCTTGCACAAGTGCATTCTTTCAGCTTTCTAATATATGCAGTCTTCCCTGCTCTTCTGCCTTGACGCTTGCACCTGTCGATCAATAACCATTTGACAGTCATAACAGATAAGCCAGTAGGCCAGACAAGACTGCATATACCAGACAGGTGAAAGAGAAGACTTGTGCAACTCCAAAGGACTGTAAACTGAATTACAGAGACATAATGCAGTTTGGGAGCCAAAAGAAAAGTGAGCCCTGATTAGCTAAGATGTTTCCAAATATGTCAAATAGGTGTTGGAAATGTAAACATAAAGTGGGTACTTTCTATCATATGTGGTGGACTTGTGATAATGCGAAAAAGTATTGGATTAAAATACATAGATGGATGGAGGAAATATTAGAAAAACCATTTGCTTTTAAACCTGAAGTATTCTTGTTAGGCATCACACCAGAAGACGTTAACAGACAGGAAATGTATCTGATGCTGCACCTAATCACAGCGGCGAGGATTGCATTTGCTCAATATTGGAAAAGTGAGGAGCTACCCATCGATGGATTGACTGTAAGAAAGACCTTGGACTGTGCAGAAATGGATAGATTGACTTTATCATTGAAGGAGAAAGAGGACACTGACTTCTGTCCAACTTGGGATTCTTTCTGTAACTGGCTGGACAAACGGGACTTGGCGTAAACTTAGAGATGTTTTCAAATTATTATAAATTGATTTGAATTTGACTTTAGAATGTTTAAAAATATGTAGTAGGGGGATGACTCAGTAAATCCGATGTATGTGATGTTTGATGTTTTTAGTGTTAGTTTAAAATGTTAATAAAAAAAAATTAAAAAAAGTGAGCCCAACTGCACTTTTTACAACCTTGGAATGGGAAGAAACAACAGTAGAGAACAAAATGGGGTTGCAATTAAAACAGGGATGAAGAAAATAAGACAGGCTGTGTTGTAAGGAACACTAGGATCCCAGTGAGAACAACCCACAGTGGGCCTGATTATCTGATATGCATATCATGGGTTGTTCCACAAACAACTCACACTGTGTAATTTATTCACAGGGTGATACCCTGTCATCATAACTCTCCACGGTACATTTACTGAAGTACAAATAAGAAAAAGAACACACACACACACACACACACACACACACACACACACAGCTAGCTACAGATCTGGTTTACAGAGTGCCCTAGGCCACACTTTAAGTATCCATGAAATCAGCTGAAAGAGTGAAACCAATATAATCTAAATCCTTCTAGCTAACTCAATAAGGTAATGGAGAGACAATATAATTTAGTAAGTTGTTTATCTCTGCAGGGGCAACTACAATGATTATAAAATAAAATATTTATTGATCAAAGCACCTCTTCCTGAACAAAAGACTTTATATATGAAAATATAACTCCTACACAACTACTAAGTACAAAATAATTGCATCCCACTGGCAGAATATACTATAACATGAACCAGCCAGGATTAGCCCTCAGCCCTGTACATTTGAAGGCCACATTTGACCTTAAGTCAGTATTCTTTAGAATAAATAAACATGCTTGTCCATGTTGCTTGATTGCTTCTGCCTGGTTTCTCCTGCCTGTGGGAGCAGTTAAACAAAGGTTTCACTCTCCATCCATAGTTTGCTTAGTGCCAGGTCTGAACTGGGATGTCTACATTTTGCATCTCGTGAAATCAGATATCAGCTTCTGGAACCCTTGGACAGCTGCTGGGGTCCCAACTTCCCAGAAAGAAATACCATGCTTACACTAGACTCCCCCTCATTTTTTCCTCCTGGACAAGAGCTCTAAATAGCAATGTTACCAGTGCAGTGCGGCAAATTAAAATAGTATTTATAATCAGCTGCCCCAACAGAACTCACTAATGGAGGAGGATGTCCATTAGCAATTAATTTGCTCAGGACTCTCTCAAAGCCAGAGCCTGTCCTAACTATGTAGGTTCCCCTTCAATTAGCTTATCTTCAGTGCGAAGTCAATCAACTATGGGTTAGCAACTTGTTTTCTGTCAAGGGCTACATTCTCCCATGGGTAATGTTAGGAGCTACATGTCAACAGTGAGTGAGGGCAGAGCCAATAATGGGCAGGACCAGAACAAAAAGGGTATGAGGCACCCCTTTTCTATTTTGGGCTCTTTTTTTCCCTCTCTTCCTGCACCTTTGCAGTCTCTCTCTGCCTCCCATGCAGCAGGTTGCCAGGAAAGGGATGACTCATGTTTGCTAGATGTCTGAACTGATCACATGTCAACAGCTTTTGAAATTAAGATGAAGGCCACTGATGAAGGCTGTGATGAGCACAGAACATGCAAGGACATCTGTGCTACAGGATGGAAAAGGAGGCTGAATGGTAGAAGCAAACTGGCTACTATTGGTGATTGGCTACCATCTAGACAGCAGCTGCTCATTTTTAAAAAGCCATATCTTGGAGACTATCTAAGAGCTCTTCCTGGTAAGGAAGCTAAGAAACAGGAGGATCAGGCTGCATGGATTAAAGAAAACAAAAGGCAGACAGATTAATTTAGTGTAGGTGATACAAAAGAGAAACTGTCTTCTGTGGGTTCTTTCATGAGGCCTTTGGTGGGTAACTGTATATTTGCTGCTGTCATCATTGTGCTTCTGTGTTGTTAGTTGATTTCTGCTTCTGCTTCTAGGAAATTAGTTTTATTTCAGTATGTGTAGGATAGAGCAATGTTAACTGGGTCTAATTGTGGTGCAAAAACACCAGGGCATCTTGCTGGGTTAGACCAAGGTCAGTGTAGTCCAGCATTCCATTTTCAACAACAGCAACCACTTCTGGAAGCTCGTAAGTCTGGCATAAAAGTCCCTGACCTATTTTCCCAGTGTCCAATATTCAGAAGTATATAGAAAGGTTCAATTTAAGTATCATAGATAACTGCTGCTCACAGCCCTTCTCCATTAATATTTAGCTAAACCTTTTTAAAACCAACTAAAATAGCCATCAGTGCCCTACAAGAAAAGTGAACTATATTACTTTTAACATTTTTTCTATCTTGTTCAGCATTCTGCAACCAGCTAAATGCCTCTAGAAGACTTACAAATGATGTACAAAAAACACAAGCATACCCTTGTTAGTTCCAGTATCTTCCTTTAATCTTCTTTAAGGTCCATTGACTCTGAACTTGGAAACCCCATTTATACTAGCTGATAGGAAGGGTTTCCATGGGCAGAGCTGGGGTAAAGTAGTTAGTAGGAACTTTGCACAGGTGGAACAGAGGAAAGATCGTAGGTCGTGGTCATTGATGGCAAGTGTCTAAGGCTAAAGCACCAAGACCAGACATGATGGAGGTAGTTGGAGGCTACGAGCATGATGCAGGAACAGAAGCAAAGATAACATCAGAATCAAGGAGGAGTCAGACACCATCAGGGCATAGCAGGTCCAGAGGCAAAGCAGAATCAGGAACAAGTGCTGGTCAGATATCCAGCAAGGAATGGCAGGCCCAAAGGTGAAGACAGAGCCGGGCAAAGACTAGGGTGAGATACTGACAAGGCATGGAAGAACCAGAAGCAAAGCAAGGTCAGGAGAAGGCAGAGATCAGGTACATAGCAGACCCAATGGTGAAAGCAAGGGTCAGAACCTGGCAAGATAGGGTCAGACTGGAGGCAAAAGCAGAGGCAATAGGAAGGCACAAATGAAGGTAGGGCAAGAAAAGAGGCAGGCTCAGGAAAATGAAACCACCACCATGAAAACCCATGTCATGGCAACCAAGCTGAGCAGCCTAGAAAAGCCTTTTATAGAGCCTTCCTGAGCTCCCAGCTATGCTACATGATTGCACAGGCTCTAATTCTTGCAAGTACCTACAGGTCTAATCCTGGTTCTACAGGCACTTGCACGGTGAACTGTGCTCCAGGTCTTGACAAAAGATATGGGAACAGCAGTGATTTTTAGCATCCCAACTTCCTAGAGACACCGGCTGTCACTGATTATATTATATATGAAAAATCAAACAAACTTAAATGGCTATGTAGAAGTACATTCCCAATTAGGCTTTTAAAAGCCAAAAGCAGCAGGCTAGCAGAAATGGAACAATAGGAATGACCAAATATTATGAGAGGAAATAAAGAGAACCTTTTGAATACTACAGGCAGACAGTTGTAATAGTGCACATTTTAAATAAATATATACCTGGGTTTGGATACTGGTTTTTTGGAGGTATTGGCTCCAGGGATCAGGAATCTGTTCATCAGCTCCTCGATTAGACCCACGAGAATTTATCTTAAGTAAATAGCATCCCTGAGTTCCATATCTTTGTTTCATTTCTTCATATATTAAATCAGCCCTGAAAAAGTGTTAATATTACAGGAATGTCTTCATATGCAAGACTTCTGGCAAGAGGTTCTGATTTCTCTTTTAACCTACAACATTTTAATATAGATACATACTGAATGCTGAATTAGCAAGTTATCTGTAAAGTAAAAATTCACAGAGCATGTTCTAAAGGAAAAAACTCCACTTCTGGGAACTTCAGAAACTGAACTAAATAGTAACCAGTGTTATACAGAATTATTTATATAAAAATATACTGACATTAATCTTGCAAAGATTATCTTTTTTTAAAAAAACTAGAAACACTATTGCCAAACAGTGTGCTTTAAATTACAAAACAAGGAATCCTAAATATGCAGTTATGGCATAATTAATACATGTTGAGTGACTTTTAACAGAAAAATACAAACATTTTATCAGATCAGACCAAGATCAAAGCTAGCCCAGTAAGAATTTCAGCTATCAGCAAGCCCATCATGAACTGACTACCATGACTACATTGAAGAAACATTTAATAATAAAGCAGAAGATAATCAAAATAACAGAAAAATACTGAAGTGAATAAAGGGAGCTGAAGATACAGTAGTATAAAATTTTCACAAGGTTTTGTAGTCATATTAAGTCAGATATAGCATAGGTAGAGATAAAAGAACACACAGAACTCTGGGAAAGTTTAACAAGAAAAAACTGAGAAAACAAAAGATATTTGAATAAAACAGGTTGTACAGAGGAAGATGAGAAGGGAAGTGGGGACATTGCACCAGCCCTACTGAGAAACTACTTTCTCTTCCCTTCCTATCCCCTTTTCCTTGTATACTGTGTCTGCAGGCTACCTTGTTTTATTGATTGCTTTGAAAGCTTTTCTGGCTGAACAGTAGGATAAAAATCTATTAATATGTTTATGCATAAAAGAACTGGCCAGATGAGCACCTAAAAGAAGAGCACTCTCCCTAGGGAGAAGAGGTAGAGATAGGAGCCATATAAATTTTATACAATTAGAACAGAAAAAAAAACAAGGAGCAGATAACAGAAAAGTTAGCTATATAGGAACAAATAAGAAGTGCACACCCATCATAATCACACACACACAGAAAGACAGAGCTGACATGACAGGCAAAGTGCTGCATTTTTAAAACAGAGATGAGCAAGGAGAAAAATCTTCTCAGATTTTTCAGCCATTCCTATTAGGCAGTCCATACTAAGCTTAGTACCTTGCCAATCTGAACTTCAATTCTGTTTAACTATCAATGAATTAAAATGCCTAATAGAATGTAGATCAGATACTAAAAGTGTCAAGCGTAAAAACCAGGAATGGACACATACATAGAGGATACATATGAAAAGGTAATGTTAACTTAAATTTGCCAGGAACAGTTGGGATGCTTAATTATCTATATTACATACAGGTTAAAACTAATTTTGCAATCTTATTGTATTCATATGAACTTTTGCAACAATCTACTTCCTTGAAGCATCCATACAATAGCTTTGCTTTGCCAAGGTAGCAAACCTAATTAAGCTCAGCAAGCACACACTATTCTGAAGCTCAGCTATCATCATAAGTAATATTAGACATTTAATTTTTGTAGAATTGCAAATATGTATTCATTCTGAGTACTAAATAACCTTAAACTGCCTTCTCAGTCAATACGACCAAGTTTTCAGGAATCTTTTGAAGACTCACCTCTGTTCCTCTCCTATACTCACATCATGCAACAAAACATAATATTTTAGCGTGTTCGGAATAAACCACTTTGGATAAGAATATTCATTGCTATGCTGAATCCGATGTTGTTCTTGTGACAGCTTAAGAAACTGTTCCACAGGTTCAGGTTCACCAGATGAAACCACAAGCATACCTGAATTGACATTAAGGATGAGACACAATGCATATATTGAACACCTTAGGTATTATTCCAAGCATAACATTACTGTTCCTATCCTTACCTCTATGCAAAAACTGCAGTTATTCACCTGAGATATATACACTGAGGATAATTAGCACAGCAGGATAAATACTAAGGAGATGCACTGGAATCAGCCAGATCCCAAGTTGAATCAGGATCATTTCTGGTGCTTCCCAAGGCAAAACAATCTTCCTTCTGAAGCAACCATCTGGACTCAGATGAGACTGTGTTACCAATTCAGACCTCAAAATACAAAGTTTAGGTTTCCTCCTCAAGCAATATCATTAGGCTTTGTTTCTCTGTATCAGGGAACTTGTGGCTCCACGTGTTTTGGCTCACAGTAATCATCAACTGTAGTCAATGAAGTCCATGATGAAGTATTAGAGGAAGTATAAGGCCAATATTTATCTACCAGTTGCCCATCCCTTAATGCTGACTATAAGCAAGAAAACAGGGAATTTGGTTGACTGACTGAAAGGTTCACCTCCTAACTCTAGGGAATGTTTTGTCACTGACTATCCAGTCACTGTGCTCTAGGAGAAGGCAGAGGTGGGACTGTGATTTGGCCATTTGCCCAATACCACCAGGGTTCATTATGGGGAAAAAAACTTAAACTGGTTATTAATCATCCTAGCCCCCTAGCCTCTCAGCCTATTCTTTCAAAACTTTACATGCTTCTTCCTGAGAGAAAAACTTGGTGGTGCTGTTCTCATGCAGTATTTCCCCAAACAATTACAGAGGGAGAAAGTGGGAAGTCAATCAGCTCAAGGATGTAGACAAGATGTTTGGTGAGGTTTATGCAACCACCTCTGTACCACAGCATTGCCTTTCTGGCTTATTAAACTAGCAAGGAAAGGATAAACAGCTGGACCAGGGAGATCATCAACACCTCTTTGCAAGAGAGAGCAGTCCTGTGCTGCCTAAAAGAGGCAGTGGTGAGACCACTTCTCAAGAAACCCTCCCTTGAACTAGAAAATTTGAACAACTACAGGCTGGTAGCAAATATTACTTCCCTGGGCAAGCAACTAGAGAGGGTGTTCGCCAGTCAACTCCAAGTCCTGACAATCTGGATCAATTTCAATTGTGGTTCAGGGCTGCTTTTGGCATGGAAAGAGCCTTGGTTGCCTTGTATGATGACCTATGTCAGGAGCAAGGGAGGGTGAGTGCAACCCTGTTAGTACGGCTGGATCTCTCAGCAGTTTTCAATACCATCAAGCATGGTATCGTTCTGGAGTAGCTGGTTGAGATAGGACTGGGGAGCACTACATTGCAAGGGTTCCACCCCTACTTGGAGGGCCATCTCCAGAAGGTGGTTCTTGAGGATTATTGTTCAGCATGGCGTTCCTCAGGGGTCTGTTTGATCCCCCATGCTATTTAACATCTATATGAAACCACTGAGTGGGGTCATCCAGTGTTTTGGAGTATGTTGCCATCAGTATGCTGATGACATGCAGCTCTATTTCTCCTTTTCATCATCAGCAGGTGAGGCTGTGGATGTGCTAAACCAATGTGCGGTTACGATAATGGTCTGGATGAGGGCTAACAAACTGAAATTCAATCCAGACAAGACTAAGATGCTGTTGGTGCGTGATTCCTTTGACCAGATGCGGGGGTTCAACTGGGCTCTGAAGGAGCAGGTTGGAAGCTTGGGAGTGCTCCTTGATCCATCTTCTCACTTGAGGTTCAGGTGGCTTTGGAGGCTCAGAATGCCTTCTACCAGTTTTGGCTAGTGACCCAGCTGCACCCCTGCTTGTATAGTAATGGTCTGGGTTCAGTGATCTATGCTCTGGTGATCTCTAGATTAGATTGCTGCAATAGACTCTACATGGGGTTGCCCTTGAGAACAGCTCAGAAACTGCTGTTGGTGCAAACTGTGGCAGTCAGATTAATAACTGAGAACTAGAGGTCTGAACATATAAGACAAGTTCTAGTCAGCCTGCATTGGCTGCCTGTATGCCTCAGTTGCCAACTCAAGGTGCTGAACTTAACCTAGAAAGTCCTACATGGCTTGTGACTGCAATACCTGTCAGAGTGCCTCTCCCAACCAAAATCTACCCAAACACTACACTCAACCACTAGGGCCTTGTTACAGGTGCCATCCTCTTGAGAGGTTCAGAGGGTGGCAACTAGGGGAAGAGCCTTTTCTGTGGTGGCCTCCAGCTTTGGAACAACTTCCCTGCTGTGACCCATCTGGCACTAAATTTGCCATCTTTTCAGCTCCAGGTTACGACAGTCCTCTTTGCAAAGGCCTTTGTCCCTAATCATTCAGGGCCCAACACAATTAGTCAGGGGCTTAAAAAAAACCCTTGGCAGGGTCTTTTTAATTGTCGTTTTTAATGTTTTTGAATGCTTTATGCTATTTTAAAATTAAAATTAATTCTTGTTAATGTTATTATCTATTATATTTTATTGTTTTTATACTTTGTTGTAAACTACTGAGAGAGCTTTGGCTATGGGCAGTACAGAAATGAAATAATAAGAATGACTGCTCCATCCCCCAAACCTGGAGTCTGCCCCTATCCTTCTGAGTGTTGTAGGATTTTTTTATTTAGGATCCCAGCTCAGTAGTTCTGTTTTCAGTAACACTGAATCAGAGTTAATGCATACCTTTAATCAATACTATAAAAACAGGATATTGCATAACGGATGAGGTTACCCTGCTATTAAAACTTATATTAAGCGTATATAAGATTCAAGTCAATCTCCTATGGCTTCAAAGGATACATGCAACATAGTGGTTCAGGAATTCATGGTCTGATGCTGGCATGGACTGAAGAAAGCTTTCTCGATAAGCCTCAAACCATGGAGTAGTAGCTGCAATAAATTACACACAGATTATAGAAAACTTTAAGATTTTTTTAAAAAGGCCACATTATTATTATAAACACACGTCTGTTGCTTAACTAACTGGAAGAGAAATTTTCAAAAAGGATATCAAGTTCAATTCTTTATTGAGCATTTCCACAGTATGATTACCAAATTTTAGAAGAGGCTATTTCTTTTCAAGCATGTAGTTCATAAATGGGAAATTGCTACATAATTCACCTCTGTGGTTCTCACCATATTCCAATACACTGCAACACTATGTAAGCTTTGGGACCATTTGCCAATCCCATACAATTTGGCTTGCAATGCAATACCTTTGCATTTATGTCTTATCTACATTATAATCCATTTTTCACATTATCTATGGAAACAGAATTCAGATGCAACACAGGCACAATCCTTTGTATAACTATGCAGAAGTTAGTCCATTACGTTCAGTGGAACTTCCTCCCTGGTAAGCTTATACTACTGAAAGCCTTTTTTAAAAAAAATTCTAAACCATTCATCATAAGATAAATGAACTGATGTTAAAGTTATTCTGAACCAATTCAAAAATAAGAAGCATGCAGCATCTAACAAATATCTCAACTGCTTTCCCCAAAAATTACATACAACATCCTTTAAAGAGGGGAGGGGGCATTGCATACAATAGTAACTTTCACATGATTAAATTCATATGTGTCATCTTCATGAAGCTAATTACACATAATATATAATTCTAAATTTGTATGACATGCTACATATGAAAATTATTGTATTAGAATTTGTAATGAAAAACTACAAAAACATCTGAGTCCTTACCTCTGCACATATACCAATCCAGACTATTATATATCATGAGCATGTTTCTCCCTCACGTTTTGTTTTCCAGCAGATCAAAATAAAAGCTTATAAAATGCAGCCTTTTATTCATGCTTAACAGGTAATATTATGTTGCAGGGTGCTATGACAGCTATTGACAATTTGCATAAAGTAAAGTAACGATCCCTCCAATCTGTGGGAGTAACTTCTGCCAATATTTACAAACTAAAATGGCCTCCTCCTCCCCTCTTTTTCTCAGTTTTGACTACCCTTTGGAAGGTTAATACTGCTTGTGGCAACATCTGACATTACATAATGGGTCCACTTGTTTGGCTTGGTACCACCTCACTGGGTGTAGGAATTAACTCTCCTAGTCCACCATTCTCCATTATCTCCCCATTCCCCTACCCAAGATGGTTTGATTTTCAGTCTCTGCCTCAATAATCTTGCCTGTTAACCTAGAGTCTGCAGAGTAACCTGCCAACTCTTTCTTCTCCCCTATCTCATTTATCTTACATTTCAAATCAGAACTGTCTGGTCAGGAATGCTGTAATTGTGAGAAAGCTGGGTCCCATCTCTGCATTAAACTTCTAAGGTAACTTCTTCAGACTGACACACTAGTTTGAAAACAATGCATCACTTCTGCATAACAGAAAAAAATACTATTTGACACTTAGACATACACACTGGGGGGTGGGCATGCAAATCTTAGGTCTGTGGGCAAAATCTGGCCCTCCGGGGTTCCCCAAATATGGTCACATTCATTTCTCCTTGACTTCCAATTGTGTGGTGGTTTCTCAGTTTTTGCTTCTAAAAGGTTGCAAGGCCTCTTTTAAAGCTTAGTTATTGACAGCAACAGTTAAGCTAACATTTGTTTTTGTTATGTGATGTTAAGTCATCTCTGACTTTTGGCAATGCCTTCCTGTCCTATCCATGCTGGTATTTTTGTTTTGTCTTTCTGCCTTCGGCCCTTATCCCTGTGGTCCTGAGCTCTACCCATCAAGAAATGCAGTCCCCGAGAGCTTTTCCAAACCTGTATTTGGCCTTCAGACTAAAAGAGGTTTGACACCCCTCCAACATATTACTAAAGTATATCCTAAAAATTTAATATTACAGCACTGAAGCGCCAATTCCATGAACCATTCATTCATTCATTGCTATACTTTATATCCCCATAGGTTACCTAGTCAGTACCCACTTTCTCAAAGAGAACACTCATTTTTATAGACCAAAAACCTGGACACAAAGTATCAGAACCAATCCTACTATGACATTCAAGAGGTATATAATCAATAATAATATTCTTCACTTGAAGAAGTGTTACACTAGTTCCTAATCTAGAAGAGAAGTATGGTCAATCTCAGGGCAGATTTATTTCTACTCATTTCACTTCAGTGCATGTTAGATCTGTGTATGTATCATGTCAACATTTTAACTCTCCCCTTATAACTGGAATCAATTTGGTCAAATCCCACTTTTCTGTTTTGACTGCAACATTACAATCTGTTATCTCAAACAAAGTTTCACCCTTAAAATTTGGCTGCATGTCACCTCAGATCCTCAGGTGGACTCAGTGGCCAGGAGCACCTTCCTCCAACTGCAGCTAATTTAGCAATTACAGCCATATCTTGACAGACAAAGCCTAGCCACAGTCAAGCATGCCCTGGTAAGTTCCCAGCTGGATTATTGCAATGCAGTTTACATGGGGCTGCCTTTCAAGACATTCCAAACACTCTAGCTGGTTCAAAATAGGACCACGTGATTGTTGACAAGAACTAGTTTGTGAGCCCATATCAAACCAGTTTTATACCAACTAAACTGACTACCAGTGGAAGTTTGGGCCCAATTTAAAGTGTTAGTAACTACATATAAAGCCCTAAACAGCTTGGGTTCTGGGTACCTAAAGGACTATCTGCTCCCATATGTACCAATCCATCTACTAAGATCAAGCCAGGAGGTCCTTCTTAAGGATCCATCATCTAGAGAGGCGAGGCAGATGTTAGCTAGAAGAAGGGCCTTCTCAGCAGTTGTCTCTGGAACTATTCCCACCTCTGAAATGGGCTCCCCAGAGAGGTGTGCCTCAGCTAACATTTCAGTACCAGGCAAAGACTCACCTCTTCTCTGGTTGTTTCAGCAATGGTTTTTAAATCGTCCCCATGTTTGGTTTTAGTGGATTTTAGTTTAAATTGTCTTATTTAAAGTTCTATAATTTAATTTTGATATATTGTCTTTTATATTTGGATGTGTTAATATGTTTTGAATATGCTGATTTAATGTTATTGAATTTAGAATGTTGTGTTGTTTTTATATTGTGAGTTATGCAGAAAGACCTATTGGGGTAGCATTTAAGTTCAAAAAATAAACAGCTGGACATAGACATGAAAATTGACAGGGAGCCCCTTGACCCTATAGGGAGAAGACAGTAAAAGCAAGCAGACAGATTAAGAAGTATCCAATGTTCCCACCATCTAGCCCTAAAACAGAGAGAGCCACCAGAGAGTGGAGTCAGAATCTTTATGAAAGGGAAGGAAAGATTGTTTTAGTTTGGATTCAACCTCTTCACATGGGCAAATGCCATTCCATATATCAAAGAGATCATTACCTTACTGTTATGCTGTTTGTAACCTGTAAAAATAAAATAAAAGACTATGCTTCTAAGTCTTCATCTAATCTGCTAGAAAGGGAAAAGAGAGAGACCTGTTCACAACAGCCTCAATAAAAAAAGGCATTTTTTCCACCAAAGGGTCAACATGAAGGAAGTGGGTGAAGCACTTGTTGCAGAAAACAAAGCATTACGGAATCAACTGGCTGCTGTCATTATAATTCTCTAGGCTGCTGGAACAGTAAATCCACCTGTGCCCATGTATACAGTAGCCCCTGTTCCTGCAACCCAGAGGAAATGTCCAGTAGGGCCCCCAGAAAGTTTTGAGGGAGCCAAGGTACATTTCAAGTCAGGAAATTTTCCTGATGACCAGGCTTTAGTTTATTTTATTTATTAAATTTATTTACTGCCCTATAGCCCAGAAGGCTCTCTGTGCAGTTTACACTAAAATACAAAAAGATTTGTTAGCAGTCTGAAGATGGAAGTTGAGGGGAAATGGGTGACAGTGTGTTTCATGGCAAATAATCTTGGAAAACTATCAAGGATTTATGGACAGCATGGCAACATTTTTGGCATCGCTCAGTGGACTGAAACCACCACCAGAGAAATCCAAAGACTCGGTAGCCAGGGACACAACCCAATTCCAGCTGCTGATGCAAGATGTGCAGTGGAATGATGCTACTTATGTGACACAATACTAAGATGACTTAAATGACAAGATTTTGGATGAAGCAGCATGTGTGGAACAGTCCCAAATGCTACCACTTTTGATTCAACTCTGCTCACAGTCCGTCAGCTGGAAGCAAAATAACAAATTCACAAAGAACTAGTAAATCGCTGTACCACCCCTCCAGCTTTTCCTCAGTCAGCAGCCTTGCCCACTCCCCTGACCTCAGATACAGAACTGATGTAAATTGGCTCAGTTAGACTCAGACTGCCCAAAGTAGAATATGACATTGTTAGTTGGCTGGTCTGTTTTGCTTTTGTCAACTCTCTCAATCCCTCTCCAGGGTGCTGAAAAACTCCAAATCTCTAGCCACTAATTAGGGAAGATTTCAAACACCAGGGAACTAGAAAGTTGTGAAATTCCATCCCATTCACAGGCAGTGTTGGAAGAGTGTCTCCAGAAACCACAGGGGAAGAATATAGTTATACTCACTATAGTGGAGTCTGGAGTAACTACAAATTTTATGGACATTAATTTTGCTAAACAGAATCTTATGATGATTATTCCTTTAGAACATCCCTTGACAATGATCACAATTGCAATAAGGCTTTTACAGTAACTCCCAATCACACCCACTGACATTCACATCCATACAGAATAAATACAATTTTATTTGACTGAGAAATAATTAGTGGTATTAGACATGACTTGGCTTCCCAAGCACAACCTGCATGTCACCTGGAGGAAACAAGAGTGGGTTGTTTTCTTCTAAATTTTGCTCCCAACATACAGTTGTCTCACCAAGCATAAACCACCTCTTTTCCAAATCCTCCTGAGAACCTTAGCAGCACTACAGCTGCTTCTCCTCCCTACCAAGTACCAAGAATGTCAGGCTTTTTTCAACCAAAAAGGGGCAGACAGCTTTTTGATTGTGCCATTGACTTAACTCCAGTATTTTCTATTCCTGCGTTAAGCTATACACCATCTGTACCAGAAAAAATTGGTATGATGCAAGAATTTTTAGATACCAATCTAAAATAGGAATATATTCAGCCCTTCTCCTCCTCATTTGGGGCCCCTTGTCTGTTCTTTAAATGATCTGCAACAAATACCCTTTCCCACTTATCCCAAAACTTTTGAAACTTTTGAACAAAACACTTCAAAACAAACACTTGTTTTGTGTTCTGTGCTTGCAAGCTGTGAATTTTTGAGGGAGTTATATTCTGTACATGTCCAATCACAAGAGCAGTTGGAATGGGTCACATGAGATTACAAAACAGAAATCTCAGTTGTGGAGACTCACTACCAGCAGCACATGGAGTTGTGCGTAGGGACTAGGTTAAGCTGCCCACTCAATAACTCCTCCCACTCCTCTTTGTAAGAAATTAGTTGCTTGTTAATTTGGCCTTGGCAAATTGTGGAACAAATCAGTCCCATAGCTTTCAAACTGTTGTTGTCCTCTTTCATGAAAATCCACCGTTTTTCATCATGTTTTATGGTTGGTGGGGACCCTCATCACTCTCTTCTTCTTCTATCTCTCATTCTGGTGAAGGGCAGGGAAGAATCTGAAGTTGCAGACATTCTAGACTCCCATTTCCACCATGGCCTTTTGCAATATTCAATGGATTGGAAAGGCTCTGGGGAGCCAGCATAGGATTTCCTTGCCCTCCATCTGATTCAATGGTTTCATGACTGCTACCTTCAGAAGCTGGAGGAAAAGATCGAGAGAGAGGGTGCTATAAGGCAGTGGTGATGTTTAGAGGGGATATTTTCAGTTCGGACAGATGCCATTCCACATCTCAAAGAGAGCATTACCTTGATTTATATAATCTTCAGAACTCAAATAAAAGACTGTGCTTCTAAGGTTTCATCTAAGTCTGCTGGAGAGGGGAAAAGGGGAGAGAGACCTGCTCATGACAGACAATGAGGGGTGGGGGACGTACAAAGTAAGGATACAGTGCTCGTGGAGAACTGGTTGCCAAGTGCAAGCATAATGAAAGGAAAAAAAAACACACAGGAAAAGGAAAGTTTAAAACTATCAGAATTTGCTATAGAAGTATCTTTGACTAACTGCACTTGTTAAGCCTCAGACCAGTGAACTACATGCAATGAGTTTTTCCTTCACTCAAATTTCTGCACTTAAGTGAATTTTCTTAGATATCAAGACTATGGCAAGGAAGAGCAAAAGATGCTTTGAGTTTGGACAACTAAGGACACAATACTATGAAGAATTAGAAAGGAAAGGGTCCTTTGTACAAAAAGCACATATACACACTTATGAAAACTATTAATCACAACTTCTACGGTGTTATTCATGCACTTATACTCAGAATAAGCAGCACCTCACAGACAACGGCACAATATTCAGTTCACTCATAATGATTTCATTCATATATTACAATAATCTACAATTCTAAAGAATTCTTATTGCTATTGACCCAGCATGATTCCATCACTCCCACTGAACTCCCCCTGCAAACAGAAGTGAGTAAATATTTATTTATTTGGGATATTTCTAGCCCATCCAATCACTCTGCATCTCCAGACAGCTCACAAAAAACTTTCTGTCAATGGTTTATTTATTGAGATGTGTAACCTAGAAACTCTGCTTTGTCTCTCCCTGGGGTTCCTAATTAACATATCACAATAAATAAAGGCTTGTGGTTTGTTTAGCTGCATGTACAAGTACCTGGCTCATTCACAAACCTTGTAATTCTTGTAACCTGTGAGCATGGCCAATATATTAGAAAAGCCTTGTTGCAGAAATGAAAAAGGTAAAGCAAGAAGACAGTGCACAAGGCAGAAACACAAGGCTTTTTTTAAAAGCTTAAGAAAAAAGTCTTCATACTTTTGTTGGCTGCTAAGATGAAAGGCAGAAGTACATGTACAGAGTGTTTTCAGACAACTTACAGTTAGGTATGTCAGAGAAATCTGCAGTGGACTCAGAGGAGTTTGAATTTTCTATGAATCTAAACCACATATTCTGCAGTAGTCTAGTTTTCCCAAGTTGAACACACTTGTAGCAAATTTATACATAGAAAAATGCATACAATAGAAGACCAAACCAAAATTAAAAAGGCTAAAGCATGAAAATACTCATTTGGGGGGGGGGCTTGCCCATTTTTGGAAGCTTGAATTTGTATTATACATTCTGTCGGATTCGAAAATCTGATTCCGTCAATGAGTAGACAATTAAACAAAGGGGGCCTGAAAATCTGCAAATACAATTTGAATGGATTTGCCAAAGTTCATACATCCCTATCCACAGCAACCAGTTTCCCCCAGGCAAGAGCATTTTTGCATGCTGAGAGATAGAACAGGGAAAATATCTTAAGAACATTTCAGCAAGTTCCTGTTCTAATCACACATGCACATTCAAGTCAAATGACAACAGTCCACTTAGAAAGGGAAAGTTTGGCTTTTTCCTAGCAACTATATGCTGGGAAAACACAATCTATGCAAAAAAGAAAAGTTCTCTTAGTGAAACACATCTGAATTCCATAAAATAATAACTACATATTTGTGCCCTAAAAACAGGAGATCCTAAACAGAAGTGTGCTTTAATAACCCAGCTATGGAAGAACAGAGGGAGGGAGTTTACATATATCTCAGCTTCACAATATTTCAATTTGCCACACAAAAATTACTTAAAAGGAAGGAGAAAAACATTTCTGCAAAATTAGGCAATAAAAACTATAGCATGCTCAATCAAATAAATCACCCGAAGTAAAGAATTATGATCTCTAATAACTGATTCTTTGATTCGTGAAATGATCACAGTGCATTTTAAAATTAGTGCTAGAGTATATGTATGGACAAGAAAAGACTAGAGTTATACAGCCGCCACCAAGGTTTCAGAGCAGGGAATTTATTCAAAGGAAAGTGCTACAATGTAGCAAGATTATAAAAATATACAGGTTACATAATCAGGGAACAGAAATGAGACAATATAGGAAACCCACACCAGCCACACAAAATACCTGAATAAAATGTGGATGTGTTCAGTCCCATCAGTGTGTCTTTCCAACTATTGTACCAAGGAACACTAGCTTTAAAAGACCGATCTGACAGAGAAAACATGGAATTATTAAACTAAGCAGATAAAATGTATACAGATTGTCTCAGATATAGGTAGCCTATACCATATGCTCACACTGTGTAGTATGCCCATTGCTCAAGCCCCCACTGACATCTCTGAATATTTTAATATTTTCAGATTCCAACATGATATACAGCAGTCTGTTGTCAAAATGGTAATTAAAATATTTTAAAGCTTTTCACATTGCAATGGTACTTGATATAATTAGTCAGTAACTTTATAGAGCATTAATATTTCTTATGAGCACTGGATATACTTTCAAAAAATAAAAAATGTTTTAAATCATACCAGGTTTTCATGCTCATCTGCTACCATATGATACTACAGATGCTTGTAGCAGGAACAGATGCTTATTACAAAAATATCAAGTAGCATTTTCACTTTTGGTGACCTCCAGTAAAATAGTCACACAGCCTTTATTTCAATTCAGATAGTGTTCCAAAGTGGTAGGGGAGAAATTAGCTAGAAGAAAGCTGAACAGTATCACTTCAAATGCTTTTTTCAAAAAGATCCCAGAACATCCAAAGGGGGGGGGGGACCCTAAACCCTTATCAGGAACCAATCCAGAAATCTGTTTTTCCTTTACCTGATAATACCACTAACTGAAACAGAGCTAAGCATGTGTTTACATAAAGAAACATAATTACCAATTAGCTAGAACATGAGGCAAGACTTCTCAATAAACAATGACATTTCTCACGAGCAGGTGATTTTTTCGTTGTTATTAGTCACGAAGTCGTGTTCAACCCATCGCAACCCCATGCACAACATTCCTCCAGGCCTTCCTGTCCTCCACCATCCCCTGGAGTCCACTTAAGCTCAAACCAACTGCTTCAGTGACTTCATCTAGCCACCTCATCCTCTGCTGTCCCCTTCTTCTTTTGCCATCCATTGTTCCCAACATTAGGCTCTTCTCCAGGGAGTACTTCCTTCTCATTAAGTGGCCAAAGTATTTGAGTTTCATCTTCAGGATCTGGCCTCCTAAAGAGCAGTCAGGGTTGATCTCCTCTAGGACAGAATGGTTTGATCGCCTTGCAGTCCAAGGGACTCGCAAGAGTCTTCTCCAGCACCACAATTCAAAGGCCTCAGTCCTTTGGCACTCAGCCTTCTTTATGGTCCAGCTTTCACAGCCATACATTGCTACTGGGAAAACCATAGCCTTGACTATATGCACTTTTGTTGGCAGGGTGACGTCTCTGCTTTTTAGTATGCTGTCTAGATTTGCCATAGCTTTCCTCCCCAGGAGCAAGCGTCTTTTAATTTCTTGGCTGCAGTCCCCATCTGCGGTGATCTTGGAGCCCAGGAAAATAAAATCTGTCACTACCTCCATTTCTTCCCCATCTATTTGCCAGGAAGTGAGAGGACCTGATCCCATGATTTTAGTTTTCTTAATGTTGAGTTTCAAGCCAACTCTTGCACTCTCCCCCTTCACCCACATCAAGAGGCTCTTTAGTTCCTCTTCACTTTCTGCCATTAGAGTGGTATCATCTGCATATCTGAGGTTGTTGATATTTCTTCCAGCAATCCTAATTCCAACTGGTGATTCATCTAGCTCTGCCTTTCTCATGTGCTCTGCATATAAGTGAAATAGGCAGAATGACAGTATACAGCCTTTCCAAACTCCTTTCTCAGTAGTTCCATGTCCAGTTCTCACTGTTGCTTCTTGACCCTCATATAGGTTTCTCAAAGGACAAATAAGATGGTCTGAGACTCCCATCTCTTTAAGAACTTGCCACAATTTGTTGTGATCCACACAATCAAAGGCTTTAGCATAATCAATGAAGCAGAAGTAGATTTTTTTGGAACTCCCTAGCTTTCTCCATGATCCAGCGTATGTTGGCAATTTGATTTCTAGTTTCTCTGCCTCTTCAAAACCCTGCCTTTACTTCTGGTAGTTCTCGATCCACATACTACTGGAGCCTAGCTTGTAGGATTTTGAGCATAACTTTGCTAGCATGTGAAATAAGTGCAATGGTGCAGTAGTTTGAACATTCTTTGGCATTGCTTCTTTGGGATCGGAATGTAAACTGACCTTTTCCAATCCTGTGGCCAATGTTGAGTTTTCCAAATTTGCTGGCATATTGAGTGAAGCACTTTTACTGCATCGTCTTTTAGGATTTTGAATAGTTCAGCTGGAATACTGTCACCTCCACTAGCTTTGTTGGTGCTCAGACTTCCTAAGGCCCATTTGACTTCACATTCCAGAATGTCTGGCTCGAGGTCAGTGACCACCCCATCGTAGTTATCAGGGACATTGAGCTCTTTCTTGTATAGTTCCTCTGTGTAATCTTGCCACCTCTTCTTAATCTCTTCTGCCTCTGTTAGGTCCCTGCCATTTTGGTCCTTTATCATGCCCATCTTTGCATGAAACATTCCCTTCATATCTCCAATTTCCTTGAAGAGATCTCCAATCCTCCCTATTCTATTGTTTTCTTCTATTTCTTTGCACTGTTCATTTAAGAAGGCATTCTTATTTCTAGCTATTCTCTGGAATTCTCCATTCAATTGGGTGTATCTCTCTCTTTCTCCCTTGCCTTTTGCTTCCCTTCTTTCCTCAGCTATTTGTAAAGCTTCCTCAGACAGCCATTTTGCTTTCTTACATTTCTTTTTCTTTGGGATGGCTTTAGTTGCTATCTCTTCTACAACGTTGCAAACCTCCGTCCATAGTTCTTCAGGCACTCTGTCTATCAGATCTAATTCCTTAAATCTATTTGTCACCTCTATTGTATATTCATCAGGGATATGATTTAGGTCATACCTGAGTGGCCTAGTGCTTTTCCCTATTTTTTTCAATTTAAGCCTAAAATTTGGAACCAGAAGCTCATGATCTGAGCCACAGTCAGCTCCTGGTCTAGTTTTTACTGACTGTATAGAGCTTCTCCATCTTTGGCTGCAGAGCACATAGTCAGTCTGATTTCTGTGTTGACCGTCTGGTGATGTCCATGTGTACAGTCGTCTCTTGGGTTGTTGGAAAAGAGTGTTTGCTATGACCATCGAATTCTCTTGACAAAATTCTACCAGCCTGTGCCCTGCTTCATTTTGTACTCCAAGGTCAAACTTGCCTGTTATTCCGGTTATCTTTTGGCTTCCTACTTTAAAATTCCAATCCCCCATGATGATAAGGACATCATTTTTGGGTGTTAATTCTTGAAGGTGTTGTAGGCTTTCATAGAACTGGTCAACTTCAGCCTCTTCAGCACCAGTGGTTGGGGCAAAGACTTGGACTACTGTGATGCTGAATGGTTTGCCTTGGATTTGAACTGAGATCATTCTGTCATTTAGGAGATTGTATCCCAGTACTGCTTTTCCTACTCTTTTATTGACTATGAAGTCTACTCCATTTTTTCTGAGCGATTCTTGCCCACAGTAGTATACCTGATGGTCAGCTGAATTAAATTCACCCATTCCTGTCCATTTTAGTTCACTGATCCCTAAGATGTCAATGTTCAGTCTTGTCATCTCTTGTTTGACCAAATCCAGCTTGCCTTGATTCATGGATCTTACATTCCAGGTTCCTATGGAGTATAGATCTTTACAGCATTGGACTCTCCTTTCACCACCAGATACATCAGCAACTGAGTGTCCTTTCGGCTTTGACCCAGTCGCTTCATTCTCTCTTGTGCTACTAGTACTAGCCCTCCACTCTTCCTCAGTAGCATATTGGACACCTTCCGACCTGAGGGGCTCATCTTTGGGCGTCATATCTTTTTGCCTTTTGGTACTGTCCATGGGGTTTTCATGGGAAAGATACTGGAGTGGGTTGTCATTTCCTTTTCCAGTGGATCACGTTTTGTCAGAGCTCTCTGCTATGGCCTGTCCATCTTAGGTGGCCCTGTACAGCATAGCTCGTAGCTTCATTGAGCTACGCAAGCCCCTTCACCATGAGAAGGCAGTGATCCATGAAGGACAGCAGGTGATTTACAACCATAGAAATTTATTTTAATAAAAGAAACAACTACTACTATTTACTTCCTATAAAACTCTTAAAATTCAAACAAACTACTGTTCATGCTAGGCCTGCCATAAATTTACGACAATGTCCCAGTAACTGATCAAATGCAAAGCTAACTGTCTGGCCTAGGGCAAGACAATGACCTGATTTATTTAAGCTACAGGCTGTTCTTTTCTGGAATGTCAATGCAACAACACTAACAAACCATGATTTGTTAAATAGGACCAATTCAGGAGGAGGAGCCATGATTTATTACTGGGCTATGAATTCTGTGGTGTTTAAATCATGGCCACCAGACATGCCCTTGGAAGACCAACAAACTATGATTTTAATGACATATGTGTTAATGTTACATGTGAAGAAGGCCATTTATTTGTGAACCCCAAATCAGAAGTTGTTTCACCTGGATACTGAGGCATAATGGTGGTTAGAAAAACAACTACCGCAAAGTTATTTGGAATAGAGAGACAGAGCAGGTGAAGGAAGAAGAAAAACAGCCCAAGCATTGAAAAAGACAATCCATGGTTTGTTTATCTGGTCTGCACATAACACTAACCACAAGTAGTATTATACAAACCAGATCTCAGAGTAATATTTGAAATCAGAAGTGTAGATATAAATATGATGAAGAGATATTCTTGTTCTATGGGCCCACAGCAGCATGCCCCACTGTTTCTTACTTCATGCCATGTGTTAGAGAACAGGCATGATCTAGCTAAAGTTAAGCTCTTTGATTACATGTCTCACAGGAAAAAGAAAGAATATATTTAAATTTCTCCCACTGAAATCAGTAGGGTTTAGAAATAGTTAAGTTTGAAACACTGGGCACAATAGAACAGCACAGTCTTCAGTTTCAGGTGCTGACTGAGTATGTAGCATCGGGATTTGTCACAGATGTGAAATAGAACATGCCTTTGGTCAAGAGTTCTTGGTCTCATAAATTGAAGAATTGCAAATTAATTATTTAATGAAATGCAGTTTCGCTTTTCAATCATTTGGAAAAAAGTTTAGCAAAACCATTGCAATTTAATACTTCATGGAATGGAAAACAACCAAGTTGAGCAGTGTGTAACTTATTCAGATTTAGCCCCCATCACTGCCACAGATTATATACAATATAAATCAAAATGAGATATAACACTGATGAATAATGTCTTTATTATGTACAATAAAATTGCACATAATATTGCAACATAATATTGAAGCCAAAAGATAACTGGAATAACAGGCAAGTTTGGCCTTGGAGTACAAAATGAAGCAGGGCACAGGCTGGTAGAATTTTGTCAAGAGAATTCGATGGTCATAGCAAACACTCTTTTCCAACAACCCAAGAGACAACTGTACACATGGACATCACCAGACAGTCAACACAGAAATCAGACTGACTATGTGCTCTGCAGCCAAAGATGGAGAAGCTCTATACAGTCAGTAAAAACTAGACCAGGAGCTGACTGTGGCTCAGATCATGAACTTCTGGTTGCAAAAGTTAGGCTTAAGTTGAAGAAAGTAGGGAAAAGCACTAGGCCACTCAGGTATGACCCAAATCCCTGATGAATATACAGTAGAGGTGACAAATAGATTAAAGGAATTAGATGTGATAGACAGAGTGTCTGAAGACTATGGATGGAGGTTCATAGTCTTTGTACAAGAAGTAGCAACTAAAACTATCCCAAAGAAAAAGAAATGCAAGAAAGCAAAATGGCTGTCTGAGGAAACAGACAAATATTTTACAAATAGCTGAGGAAAGAAGGGAAGTGAAAGTTAAGGGAGAAAGGGAAAAAATATACACGATTGTATGCAGAATTCCAGAGAACAGCTAAAAGAGCTAAGACCTAAGACCTTCTTAAATGAACAGTGTAAAGAATAGAAGAAAACAATAGAATAGGGAGGACTGGAGATCTCTTCAAGAAAATTGGAGATATGAGGGGAACTTTTCGTGCAAAGATTAGCATGATATAGGATAAATATGGCAAGAATCTAACAGAGACAGAGGAGATTAAGAAGAGATGGAAAGATTACACAGGAGAACTATACAAGAAAGAGCTTAACATGCCTAATAACCACAATGGGGTGGTCACTGACCTCGAGCCGGACATCCTGGAATGTGAAGTCAAGTGGGCCTTAGGAAGTCATAGCAACAAAGATAGTGGAGGTGACAGTATTCCAGCTGAGCTAATCAAAATCCTAAAAGACGATGCAGTTGAAGTGCTACACTTGATACACCAGCAAATTTGGAAAACTCAACAGTGGCCACAGGATTGAAAAAGGTCAGTTTACATTCCGATCCCAAAGAAGGGCAATGCCAAAGAATGTTCAAACTACCGCACCATTGCACTCATTTCACATGCTAGCAAAGTTATGCTCAAAATCCTACAAGCTAGGCTCCAGCAGTATGTGGATTGAGAACTACCAGAAGTATAGGCAGGATTTCCAAGAGGGAGAGGAACTAGAGGTCAAATTGCCAACATACGCTGGATCATGGAGAAAGCTAGGGAGTTCCAGAAAAACATCTACTTCTGCTTCATTGACTATGCTAAAGCCTTTGATTGTGTGGATCACATCAAATTGTGAAAAGTTCTTAAAGAGATGGGAGTACCAGACCATCTTATTTGTCTCTTGAGAAACCTGTATGCAGGTCAAGAAGCAACAGTGAGAACTGGACATGGAACCACTGATTAGTTCAAAACTGGGAAAGGAGTACGGCAAGGCTGTATATTGTCGCCCTGTATATTTAACTTGATTGCAGAGTACATCATGAGAAAGGCGGGGCTAGATGAATCACCAGTTGGAATTAAGATTGCTGGGAGAAATATCAACAACCTCAGATACGCAGATGATACCACTCTAATGGCAGAAAGTGAAGAGGAACTAAAGAGTCTCTTGATGCAGGTGAAAGAGGAGAGGCAAATGTTGGCTTGAAACTCAGCATTAAGAAAACTAAGATCATGGCATCTAGTCCTCTCACTTCCTGGCAAATAGATGGGGAAGAAATGGAGGTAGTGACAGATGTTATTTTCCTGGGCTCCAAGATTACCGCAGACGGGGACTGCAGCCAAGAAATTAAAAGACGCTTGCTCCTGGAGAGGATAGCTATGGCAAATCTAGACAGCATACTAAAAAGCAGAGACATCACCCTGCCAACAAAAGTGCGTATAGTATAGTCAAGGCTATGGTTTTCCCAGTTGCAATGTATGGCTGTGAAAGCTGGAACATAAGGAAGACTGAGCGCCAAAGAATTGAAGCCTTTCAATTGTGGTGCTGGAGAAGACTCCTGCGAATCCCTTGGGCTGCAAGGGGATCAAACTGGTCAGCCTTAGAGGAGATCAACCCTGACTGCTCTTTAGAAGGCCAGATCCTGAAGATGAAACTCAAATACGCTGGCCACCTAACGAGAAGGAAGGACTCACTGGAGAAGAGCCTAATGCTGGGAACAACTGATGGCAAAAGAAAGGGACAGCAGAGGATGAGGTGGCTAGATGGAGTCACTGAAGCAGTTGGTGTGAGCTTGAGTGGACTCCAGGGGATGGTGGAGGACAGGAGAGCCTGGAGGAATGTTGTCCATGGGGACGCGATGGGTCAGACACGACTTCCCTAATCATCATCATCATCATGGCAATATTCTTGCAGTAAAACTACTTTAACTAAATCTTAGATTCTGAACTTCTATCATCAAACAATGCTAAATAAATGATATACCCAACATTTACATAGTGTTGTAGTGTTTAAAGAATGTGGTGTGATTGAAACCATTTCTCTGAGTATTGGGAATGCTCAGTGTACTTTAAGACCAAATTATTCAAAAGGAATCGGCCTACCAGCTCCTCCACTCTCCATTGGATTGTCACTGCAATTCTCATCTCTCTTACAATATCAAAGTTAGTGCTCCATTTAGGAAAGGCAAGCGAGACACTCAAAGGTTCCTTTTCTCTCCACTGGGGCTTCCAAGGGATCTATCCTAAGCCCTATACTCTGTTCTCTCTACACATAACTGGGAAACCACAAATCCACGGTTTCCCATACAAGTAACTCCCAGCTGTCCCTCACTTCAATCCTGCATCTCCAACTGCTCTTTTAATAATTTTGTTTGTCAAAGTCAGGCCTTCTTTTGGAGCAATGTCACTTTTAGCTACTGAAGCACAAACAAGTGCTTTTACTGAATCAATAACCAAATGAATGCAAACAATTATTCCCAGATCAAATTAAGGTGACAAATACTACTTGCATATATAAACTGAATTTCATTATTGTAGTAGAGGTACAGAATAAAAATATGTAGAATATTAGGAATTGTTATTTCAGTATCAATTGAATTAAATCAAAATGAAAGTTCATATACAAACTTATATAGACCTCTCTACCTTAAAAAACTACCATTATCTATGTGAGTTTATATATTCCAAAGGTGTGAATAAGAAGTTACACTTCTACAAAATAATTCAATTCAACATATTGAAACTGTAATTTACATTGTATCTATTAATCCAGGCAACATATGATCACGTAATCTTGATTTTAATTCTCATTTGCATAAAAAAGGCTTTTGAAAAATATCTAATATTCCCAGAGACGTATACCTCTCAATACCTTTGTCCATAAGTGCATCTTCCAATAGAACTTTATGTTGCCTGAAAGTTGTCCTCACCCCATCTATGCAGTCACAGAATAAAACTTGCGCACTCACATCAATGTATTTCAAACTTACCTCAGTTTATCAAACAAATGATAAACTGAGGAAGCACATCACAGAGGAGTATCAGAATACAGATATCTGATACTGCATTCTGAAGATAGGGCTCAAAATCTGAGGAGTACATTACTGTACCAGAACTGAGGGCAAACTGGTTGCTTCTTGCTGATTACAGCCAGTCCCTTTAGTTAATATTGGGGAAGGGGTTTTCCCCCCCTTCTCACTTACTTATCTATACTCTCTGAGCCAGAGCGAGACAGGTGAGTGGGCAACAATGGCAAGAACAGCAAACTGAAAATGCTAATTGTTGATGACACCCATAAGGATAAGGGTACCTTTAATGACATGTTTTGGATAAATAGATGAAGTTTAACTTGGACTGCCATTTCAAATAATAACATCAGTGTCTGTTTTAACATATGCCTTCATCCTTGGAAGAAAAGAGCATAGAATGAACCTTCTTACCACTGAGATGGGGCAGTAATGGGTTAGAAAAAGAAAAAGCTTGTCAAATATATGTTTACACCAGTAACTCTTCCTGTTGCTGATTTTAAAGACACAGTATATGTGGATGATTAACAAAGACGACAGCAACAAAACTGAGGTGAAGCAAGCTACCCTTCATCTATAGTATCCAAATATTGCAACATTCAAACACTGAGAACTTCATGTATTTACATTTATGGATACAATGTAAACATATGTTAAACACTCATTTTAAGTAAAGTATAATATAGTTAATTTAGACACATTTCAGTGTCTTGTTACATACCACTAATGTTGAGATCATAATCTCCTGCAGTAATCACATTAGCAACTAATCCTTCAGCAGGCTGACTAACAGTCACAACATCACTGAGAAGCTTCCGAATGGTTCCTGGTTGAGGTGGCTGAGTAACAATATTGTTGACAGCAATCTTCAAGTTTTTGATTATGTGAAGTTGATTGTTGGGATCTCTCATGTGCACTAAAATTAAAAATAGCTCTGTTAGACTACCATATTCTAAAGCAACATTCATATCTGCTTCATACAGTTTCTGTAAAATATATCTATTGAGTATCTTCAAAATATTGACGACAAATATCTCTCCTCACTAATGTTTCAAACAAGAATAAGTTTGCCTTAGACTTCAATCTGAAACTCACTTACTAGGGAATAAGTCCTACTGGACTGGTTAAAATCCCATTTTCTGATTAAAAATGCATAGAACTGTATTGTCAGTTACAAAAACTTATAGACATTTTCAACCTAGAACCAAGGAGAGGACATAAAGACTCTGAAAAGAATTTTACACCAGATGCAACTCCTGGTTGCCGGCTGCTTTCAGCACAATATTTCTGCTGCTTAAAAAGTCACAACACTTTAAGTGGTAAGAATTATTCCAGCGACCACAGCATGCCAATTTTCTTGCAGTAGAATTTCTTGCTATGAGCACAAGTGTCCCTTTTTTGGATTTTACCATAAAAATGAAAGCTACATTTGATTTAATTCAATTTTCCCATATAAATCAAGCAATACACTGCAGTGGTAGGCAAGGTACAGCTGTACAGAGAACTTTTCCAAGTAAGTACATTCTCCTGAAAAAATCAAGATTGCCTCCAGGATTTTCTGAGCCTCTAGGCAAGGGACATACCCTTCCTGTCGCACCCCCCCCCCGCCCCAAAAAAAAGCATCACCATCAGTTCTGATACTGTGAAGTGTAGGATGGCTAACACAGAAGCTTGGCAGAACCTGCACCTATGCTAGATTTCTGAACCAAGTGGACCCAATGCAGCATAGCAATTAAAAAACAAGACATTGCAAGCCTCAGGCTCACACAGGTGCTCTATACTTGCCAAAAGAACTACAGGGAACAGGGAAGAAATAAGCAAGCCACTAACAGCAAAATAGCAAAAATCCCTTACTGCTCTTGCAAAGTTCATCCAGGACACTACCAGTGATAGCTGCCCCACCAAGTGCCCAAGAGGCAAAGCAGTAACCATTACTGGCTCAGCCTCCCAGGCATCAACCATAGCACCTTCTGTGGCTTTGTTGTTGTTACATGCTGCCAAGTCATCTCCAACTTACAGCAACCCTTATGGAATCAATCTATTTCATATTTGGTCTTCCTCTTTCGCATTTGACTTTCCCTAGAATTATTGTCCTCCAGTGAGTCTCACATTTTCATAGTGTGCTTCCAGTTGCATCATTTTTGCTTCCACTTTTGTGGTTGCTGAGGCTTTTTGGTTTGAATATGACTGTTTACTTTTCCCAATTCTGCCCTAACCTTTAGATAGTTTTTGATTATGTTTCCAAAGAAGCACATTTTTACAGGAAAAAAAATCTCTGTGGATCTCAATCTGAAATGTACCCACTCAAACTCCTAATATCTGTTTAAATTTATAATATTTTAAGTCACTCTAGATGCCTTGTTAAAAATTACTAAAATTCTTAAAATATATAAGTACTATATAACTTTCATTACTGGATCATTAATACCTTAATTACCACTAATACATTCGAATCAAACATTAGGAGAGGTGTTTCTATGAGTGAAATAACTGTTAAAAGGCAGCATGAGATACAGTACTCAGGAACACTGCCAAGAAAAAGTAGCATCATAGCACAGTGCTTTGAGGATCACTTATGATTTCTTCAGGGTAGAAGTGTTTTGCACACATGCACATACATTAGCATATGCACAATTAGAAAACTAACAGCCTGATGTTAAATGTATGTATATTTGTTACATTTATTGCTTGCCTTCATTCCATTAAGAAACTCAAACCAGCAACACCACCTGAGCATGCACTAGACCCTGACTAGCTTAGCTACAGCAAGCTTGTTGTTTTAGATGCCTTCATGCCCTGCTGACCTGAAGTAACACATACAGGAAAGAAGAAAGGGGAGAAGATAAAAAAGCAGTTCTGAAGATTTTTTTTATGTATTAGTCATCAGTGTTCACATAAATCTTGGAGTGTGCATATTTTATATTAGTAAAGTTGCACACATAATTTAAAAACTACTTAAATAAAATTAAACCTAGCAAAACAAAGTATAGTGGTTTTTATATTCAATTAGCATGATTTACAGTAATAACCAGTGAATCACAACTAGAAAAATAGTAATTGATTTTCAGCAAATAAAAGTATGTGTTCCAATGGTACAAAATCAAAATTTAAGTAATGCGTAGTTCCTTCAAACACAATCTATATAAGCATTAATCAAGTGTAAAGGCTTAAGAAAGATATCCTTTCTGCTAAAAAGCCGTACATTTATTTTTGCAAAGCAACCTCCATTATATGATAGATTCATCTGCAGATCACCATTCACACATACATTAGTAGCATTAACTTACCCATGTTGTTCACTACAACAAAATTTAATCTGAGACCATTTTGGGGGGTAGGCATGTTAGTCTGTTGCAGCAAAGTCAACAAGCTATTGTAATGTGGGGGGGGGGTGCTGTTTTACTCTTAAAGAGCTGCAGGACTCTTCGTTTGAGCCAATGTTTCCAGGGTATTCCATGTAGTCTTTTACCCTTGAAGTGTGACAAATCAGGAAGAACAACACTTTTATAAACGCCATATTCTAAGACTTGCTGAGGATGTATTTTGTGCTCAGCAAAAATGCAAATAAGCTTGGAAATGTTTACTGCTGCCACTGAGACTCTACTTTCTCTATACTGGTGCCTCTGGGGGACCAAGGCTATTAAGTCGGAGGCATATGTTCTGATTTGGTACATTAGAAGGCTGAAGTGGAAAAAGAAAGATGCAACAACCCCTACAGAAGTGAACAAAATCTCGTCTCCCACGTGAGTGACCGCTTGCCCAAAAGGCAGAACTTGGCAGGCAAGCCCTATGAGCAGCTGCTGCCCAACTCTGCCAGTCAAACTTCAGCGAAGTATAAACACAACAAATGGGTTCTTCGTTTTTCTCCTGTTTTCTTCCCGACCGCCTTCAACACACCCACCCAGCCACCCGAACTGCCTATGGCTTAGACTGCCTGTCCATCCCCTCCCGTATAAACAAACCAGTTCCGCTCCCGCTCGGTGACACCGACCTTCCGAAGTGAGGCGACAAAAGGGCTTTACCAGCTCACAGAAGCCCAAATTGTTCTTGCGGGTGACCCTCTCCGCCTCCTCGCTACACAACGCAGCTACCAAGGGTACGAACGAGTCCTGAAGGAACTCCTGCACCGACTGCACTCGCTGGGCCATCGCTTCCTTGCTCACTCCGACCGATCAATTGGCCCACCCAAGTGAAGGGCCGGCCTGCTTGCCGGCCCGCCTACCGAACCGGCGTCCCGCGGGCTCCCTCGTCTCCTCTCGAAGGGCTGTAGCCCAACCCCCGCCGGGGTCCGTGCGCTCAGGCCTGCAGCACTGACAGCCAATGCTTCAACTGCCACCCCACCTGCCTCAGTGACCGCCCAGAACCGCCATATTGAATCTGAAGTACCCGACAACCGGGTAACCCCGATCCCGGCGGCCCTTGCGGCTGGTCATGTGACCGAGGAGTGGGTGGGGAGAGGCGTGGCGACGGCGAAAGAGAAAAACTCGCGGGGCGGGCGGAGGGAGTGCTCGGTACGAGGCGAGCTCGTGATAAAACTGGGCCGAGGCAAAGTAGCAGCGAGCGGTAAGAAGATCTATGTCACCTGGCGGCGGCCATTCCTCCAGGCTGATGAGAGGGCGGGAAGGGATTTAGGGGCCGCCATCAGCTCTGCGGAGTATGCCAGGGCAGCAGGGACTTCCTCAGGCTGGAGGGTCACGAGTCCGCCTCTCAGCTAGGCAGCAGCTGGTGAGAGAACGGCGCGTTTGATTCAGCATGAGAAGTGTTGTGCTGCATTGAGCCAAGGGTCCATCTCGGCCAGCATGTGCTCATGCAGCGGCCAACCAGACAGATGCCCACAGGAGACCAGCCAGCGAGACATACGCACTTTTCCACCCTAACAACTGGTGTACATAGGCACTGTTATGTGTCGTCAAGTCGTCTCCGATTGACGGCGACCCATGAGTGACAGCCCTATCCATGGCATTCCTGCTCAGTTCTTCTAAAGTCAAGGTGATGGTGTCCTTTATGGAGTCAATGTTTCTCGTGTTTGGTTTTCCTTGTCTTCTGCCTTCGACTGTCTGTGGGATGATTATCTGCTCCAGTGAGTGTTGTCTTCTCATGATGAGGAGGAAAACTATGTAAGCCATCAAAAATTCCTTGAAAGGAAAAAAGGCAGGTTATAAATATAATAAATAAAGGTGTGCCCAAAGTACAACAGACTTGATTGTCATTTTTGCCTCTGATACTGGAAACAGACTATATAGCCTCTTTGGACTTGTAGGCATTGATAGATTTCTCTAGGAATTTATGCAGTGGGGTTTTAAAACTCTCCAAATTGGTGGCCCTCATTATGTCTGGTGAAAGTAAATTCCATGGTTTAACTATACACTGTGTGAAGTGCTTCCCTTTATCACTCTTGAATCTTGCACCAATGAGCTTCACAGAATGACCCTCGGTTCTAAAGGAAGAAAAAATGTTTCTCTTTTAACTTCCTCAACACTGCACAACATTTCATACCCATCAGCCATGCCTCCCCCTTAGTGGCCCTTTTTCTAAGCTAAAAAATCCCAGATACTGTAACAAGGGAGTTACTTCGCCCCTTACTGATTTTAATTGCCCTTTTCTGCACTTTTGGCAACTCTTAATTAACCGCTTTTAGATTTGCAAATAGAATAGATATATGGTTCTAAGTGAGGACAGTATGATATTAGCCATAATTAGAAAAGGAGCTGAAAATAAAACTGCTAACACCAAGCTTGCCTTTTTTTCACTGGGTTGACATTTTTATCAGCTATTCACCGCAACTATAAATCTCTTACTTAGTTAGAAAGCTACCTCAGATCTCATCAGCTTATATTTGAAGCTGACCTTTTGCTCCAATCCACATCGCTTTGCATTTACTTACATCAAACTGCTTTTGCCATTTTGATGAACATCTGGAGAGATCCTTTTGGAGCTCCTCACAATTCTTTTTAATTTTAATCTCCTACATAATTTGATGTCTTTAGCAAATCTGAGTTTTTCTACTTCCCTGCAGCACCCCCTATTTTTTTTAATTGTAAGCCTGAGTGTAAGGAGCTGTATTATTAGTTTACAAGCCCTTTGGGAGCTTTTTTTCCTGTTAAGAAGATCAGGTTCAGAATGCTTCAAAATACATAATATGTATTAATAAATACTCATAAGTGCTAAGTGCTAGTTTAGACCTTCTCATATGGCACATCTGAATGTATTTTTAGTCAAATAGGTACAACTGTTTTCAGTGCTGTTTAATTCCAAGTAAGCATGCAACCTCAGAAAACTGTTCCAAGACACCAATACTTCTGCAGACTCATCTGACCCCAATGGAAAGGAGGAAAAAGAGTTGAGTGTTATCTGTATATATATAACACCTCATCCAGACCTCAAGATGATGTCACTCACTGGTTTCCTGGAGATGTTAAGACAAAATGGAACTCTGCAGTAGCCTATTATATAAAAGCCATGTAACAAGGGTTCACCTTTCATCCATCTGTACAAACTGTATAGGAATCAGTAGGAATTATACACTGAACCTGTCTAGAACTCATAAGAAACTACTAGCGACTTGACCATTAATGCAACATTGTATGACTGGGATAAAAAGAGCCCCATTGGTACAATGCCACACAAATTAGGTTCATTTATTTAGTGAGTTAGGTTCATCTGTTGAATTTCCTCATTTAGGTTCTGGAAAAATAATTAAATATATGAATTAGTGGTTACTGATATTAGAAAGGCAGTGATCCCTTCTCAAAGCAATGTTATTTCTCTATGCACTTTCTAGGGGGAAAATGAGCGTTCATCCAGTTACATTGTTATAGCTTGCAGTTTTTCCCAGTCAATTCTGTTATGTATATGCTCCTTTTCAACTTTCAGGCAGGATCTCTATTTTGCACCTTTCTTTAGGTGTTGAGGAGACTCAACTGGTTTCAGGATTTAGGCATCTCACTAAGGGTGGGCTGAAATTCCCCAAGTGTGTCAATTCTAGAGGCTACTAGAGATCAGTTGTCATCATGCTCACAAGCTGAGCTCAGTATACCCAGATTAAGAGAAAGAGAGTAGAAGCCACAAAGGAAGTCAGCTCTGAAAATTAGCACAGTTAACACATGTGCCTTCTAGCATTTATTAACTAGCCACCTCTTTTTTATTCTATATCTAAGTTTTAAAGTACAGCACTGAGAAATAGCCTCCAACCTTAAGACAAGAATGTGAACAATTTAATTCCCTATATAATGGTAATGATCATTAATATGAATTTTAAAATTCTATGGAAGAGAAGTATTGCCTATGCAAGCAAGTGGACAACTCCAGAGCTGCTTACTTCAACCTACTGACTCATTGCTCAGCTGTGGCTTTTATACTGTAATAAAACTATTGCCTTCCAGCCATCCTAAAAAAGTTCTGAATCAATCCCCCTTCACAGCTACTCTGGAAATGACTGTTGCCCAAATCCTATTATGAAAGAAACACCTCTACCTCCAAAATTTCTGTTGCCAAGCACATCAGAGAAGATGCTTTCTCAATGTCCATCAGAAAGTTACCTCTGACGTTGCTGTGGCTTCAATCCATATCCAACACTGAATAAATTATATGATGCCAAGCAAGCACCATTGGCTAAGAAACCTGTTTTATATTTAAAAATAAGGGATTAGTGGCCTCACCATCAAAGCAGTTTAAGAAAGACAGACTCTCTGGGGTTGGAGACATTATTATAGAAGATAAATGATGATTACTCATTCCTTTCTACCTTACTTCTTCCATTCCATCTCCCTCTTTACAAGTTGTTGCTCTTATCTCTCCTTCCCCTGTCCTCTTGTCAAGCATAAGCTATTTGGAACACTGGGGATCCTGGGAGTGGCAGTCCAAATCATGGAAGGCATCAGGTGGAATGAATTAAGATGACAAAAATTATCAGTATTTTTGCTGTTTTCTTTCAATTATAAAAGCTCACAAATTGAACATAATGGCAATTTCTGTGTTTAACCAGGAATTGTGACAGCCAGACAGAAGCATGCTAGCTCCCCTACGCCCATTGCTTCTACTTTCAATCAGCCAAGCAGAAATTCCCTGGGTGTTAACATGAAGACCAAATCCAGGAACTCTGGGTTCTTTGAAAGTTTTTTTTAAGTCAAAGTTATCTCAACTATCCCCCAAGGTTTATTGTTGTTGTTCTAGAATTCCTAGCTTTACATAATACATTAACAGAGCAAGAATGGACTACTTGTTTTTGATTGAAAGCAGAAGCAACAAGGATATGAAAGGCAGCATAGTCCCTTGCTCTCACTCAGCCATGGTAATTCCTGGGTTGAAGAACTCAAGAATAACTGTTACATATGAACTGTCTATATAAAGGAAATATGCTAATTTCCTTAATTGTTTATCTAAATAGTACAGTTTAAAAATCTACACAATATAACATGTAAATCACATTGAGCATGCTTTAAACTTTTCTTCAAGTATTTCAGATCAAATATTTGTGGTATATTGGGAATAAAATTAACCCTGCACTACTTTTTTAGCTTTCTTGTTTACTAAATACAAGCAAAATAAATTTGCTAGTTAGAGCACTCCTGGGGGGGGGGGGGATTGTCCCTTGCAAAGATCCCTATGCAAATGATGCTAATTTGCAAAGGGTTTGCATGGGGTCATTTGCATTGGAAAATATCTGATGTACTGATATTTCAGTATCTAATTTATGATCTAATTTAGCATGTTTATTTTATTTAAGCCAGGAATTGTCTAACCCATGCTAAACTGTAGTGTGGGTTTTCCAGAAAATTCCAAAACAATTCCCTAAAAACCTATATCACAGTTTAATAAGCAGATGTTAACTATAGGATGCAATCTGAATTCATCATTAATTTGATAAAAACTACTTTGGACTGGGTTTCCTTCCTTTGCTGATAGTTTGTTTGTCCCATGTATTCCATAGTAATTTTATCTGTGTTACCTCACCAATTAAACATCCCACAGGAACTGAAGTCACAGGACACTAATTCTTTACAGTAAACACTACAAAAGTTAAAGATTACAGGTGCATTCCAGGAAATTTGGGAGGAACTTACTCTGTGGCAACCTATGTTAACATCAGGTTCAAAAGAAAATTTAAGTTGCTCTAACAGTTTTTGAATACTTTACTTCTTTAAATAAACATTTTCCTGGCATTTTCTTCATGGAGATATCCTTTTAAAAGTGAAATAACTGAGTAAGTAACATTACTGAAAATAAATACCAAATTAAAAACAAAGCCGGTCCTTGCCTTTGCAGGAAGGCCAGTACCTTATTTATACTGGGGGTAGGAGTGGCATGATGGTTTTGATCATTAACAGGATCTGAGGAAATCCCCTAGTGTATTTTTAGCCTGTAATGTTGGGGAGGGGGAATCTGGGAACAAGTCAGAATGGTACCAGGGAATGTCCTCTGCCAATTTCATCAGCAATTGTTGCTTGAATTCTTGTTGATGGACAGATTACCATGTCATTTTGTAATTACAAAAACAATTTGACTAAAGATCCTGAAGACAAAAGTGTTAATTCAGGGAAGTAGTCACAGGGGTTTTGGGTTTTTTTTAAATGAGGATTTATGATTATTCTGTTGATTTCTTTTAGCAACTGCTCTATTGGAAACTGCTTCTCCAACCCCTTCAAAAGTTATCCTACACGATTCAAGCACTATATTGAAATCGTTCTTGTTGTACCCGTGGTGTTACAGACGAGACCAGAGACCGAATGGTAAAGTAAAGAGGAGATTTATTACCTGCAAGATTTCTTGCAGGGACCAACATTCATGGTTAGAATGCGGTACCGGGTGGAGTTTGAATGAGGTTTTTATAGCTTCACAGTGAGTTTTCGGTAAATGGGAAACAATACAATCAGTTTTTGGCAGAAATCAGAACAATGGCGACAATGGGGAGTTACAGAATCACATAGCAGCAATTAAGCAAGAAGCAGAAGCAGATATACAGAAGCAGCTTTTAGCAGTAAGTTTTATCTTTTAATTTACACCTTCTAAGCAATCTTTGCCCATTACGTCTTTGGTAAGCTTTTTCCATTTTCTGAGGAAATTCTCTGAGGCAGTTACTAGTCATTTGAATGGGCTAGAGCTTAGGAGAGCTAAGCCTATCATGCATACCCTGAGACAGCTGGTTATTCTAGTGTTTGGCCGTGTCATGCCTATCTGGAGCCTAGAGGAGTCATGCCTATCCTGAATGCCCTGAGAAAGCTGATAGGCATCTCTATTATGTCAGGATCCTGGGGAGTCAGGTACAACAGTTCTTAGACCCAAGTTTGTACATAGTCAACTTTTATTAATTTCAGTACAGTTCCTTAGAAGATTCAGTAGCTCAGTGTCATGTTCAATATTTTAATACAATAACAGCACATATTGTGTTTATTTAACACATCTGTCTGGAAGCCTCCCTTCTGAAAGCCCTGTGTCAGGTAATCCCAGTTTGTGAGAAGGTAGGTGCAGATCCACAGGGGGACATCTGATACAAACCTCAGCAGTTTTATTGGTGAGAACACCCAAGAAACCCCTCTGCAGAGACAAACCTGCACAAACAGCATTGTCAGGTAGAGGTACGTCTGCCAACTACAAGTTTCCAGAAAATATACAGAGTGTTTTATAGGTTTCTAGTTATGTACACAGGGAAGATGAGGAAAGAACAGGTACATAGCAACAGATAATGTATTCATGAACAAAACAATGTGAAGAAACTGCAGAAGAGGCATGACATAATGGTACAGTAAATATCAGTGATTATAGAGTATTGATATGGCAAAGAGAAAGGCACATAACAGGGTTTGGGTGTGGGTATTGACATGCAAGAAAACTAGTCAGGGCAATTTGCTGCAGCCCAGCATATTAACAGAATAAAAGCCTCAATGCAGTGAAATGTAACAAGCTTAACTTTGCAACTAAATGTAGCAGCTGCCTCAAGCAAGTGGAGAGCCTCAGACTCTTAAAGAAACAGAGGGAAAAGGGGAGCCTAGCTGAAAATTCTGGTTCTTTCTGGGCAAGAGGAGCAAGGATGCTGCAGGTTTGATTGTATAACGCAAAGGCCCATATAAGTAATCTTCCTCTATAAAGATTTATTTGGCTTTCCCCAACACCTGCATTCCTCACTGTTTCTCTTGCTTCTTTATATTTTATTGGCTTCATTTTCTTCTATTGGACTGTGTTAGGTTAACTCCCACTTAAGAGTTCACAGGAAATTAAGGTACCATTTTGTCTTGTACCTAACTTCTACATGTTCACAAGTTCTACATTTTCCACTTTAAATATCAGCACATACAAGTCAACTTGCTATGCACATGCCATAATTCTTCAATATGCTACTCAGATGGGTGGGACAGAGACAGGACAGATAGGAAACTTACTGTAGAGTTTGCTGCTCTAGGATCCCCAGCCTCAATGACTTTTTTGAAGTTCCTGCAGAACAGTCTGTCTACTAGATTTAGGGAGCTATTTCTTCCTTTGATCCAAGAGCAACAAAACAAGGCCAAACAGAGTATTGGTAAGGTTTCTTTTGGTACCTTTGAAACTGTCAGTCAGATGTTTGGTGTCAACAACCTTGTGATAAAGTTTTTTCCTTATCCTTGTTGAACAACCTTTTAAAGTCTGTTAACAAAACCAGCATGCAAGTTTAGCATTAAACAATACTTCAGTGCATATGCAACATGACTTCTGAATGTTATCTTTTGCATTTGGCCTGCTATTTCTTTCCTTATTTTTACTGATTTGAATCATTTTCCCTAAAGAAAATACGATCAAGTGGATTGTTTTCTATAAATAATATAAATCTTAAAACCAAATGAAATATTTAAACTAAATATCTTCTCCATTGCATATCAGGGCAGAGATACAGAATTGATAGATTATGTCAAGAGCCAGAAAAAGCAGGCACACTAGGAGTGTATAATTCAAAGAAATTACACTTTATTCTGACAAACAGGATCTCTGCATGTAGGTAGTATGCATGACACTACAAAGAATTTAACTGTACAAGATGTTTTTATACAGTTTCGGTCAAGTAGACACTTGAAATCCATCTCAACACTTCCTCTAGCACTTGAAATCCATCTCAAATAGAAAAGATGAAGGGGGGGGGAGGAAAGAATCAGAATAGACAAATACTGTATCTACTTATAAAAATGTATAAAGAGCCAGGAAACCAGAACAGCAATACAGTTACCTCTTTAACAAGCTGTCAACTGCTCTGGCAACATTGATGCAAGGTGTCAATCAGGAAGCCGAATTGGCAGCATCGTTGCTTCCGTAACAAGATCGTAAGCCGATCTTCTCCATTTCAGGCTGTGCTTGTCCATTTCAGGCTTTCCGGCAATCATCGCCAGCGGTCTTTCATTGAAGGACAATTTCAGCAGGTTTGTGAAAACCCCACATTGAGTAAGTACAAAAATAAATCTTCAAGAGAGATACGGGTCGGTGGGGAGGGGTCGCCCTGAACCTGCAACATTATGTTGCTGGTCCCACTTGTAGCATCTTTAAGATACTAAATGGCTGGCTATGGAAGATGTAGGACACTTTTCTGTGTAAACATGCAGCTGAGCCCTGAATCTCAATATGCGGAAAGTCGTGCAAGAGTTGAATCCAATGACAGTCTAACTGTCCATTCATTTGAACAGGTTTACTGTAAAGCTAACATTGGATGCCACCATAAGCTTCAGAGAAAGTAGGTATACGCAATGAATGCAAATCTTTTAGTCATGTGTTTTTGATCCTTGGGATTTTCGTCCCCGTTTTCTAGTCTTTTTTTAAAACGAAAGGGGAGGAAGTTGTTAAAGAGAAACGTGCTACATAGCGAAATAATTGTTGTCATAATAAATAAATACTGTGACTGATAGAGTAAAATGTGTCTGAAGCCACAATCCTTTGCATATTTAGAGGGGGCGGGGAGTTTAACTTTCCCAGCTATAATACTCGAAGTTGGAGGGCTTTCCGCTCCAGCCTAACCCTTTAGGCTGCCTTCCTAAACGCGCTTCCCAGGGAACAAGCTCTTGGTGGAACGCCGTGGGAATTTCCTCGCAGCAAGGATGCAACAGGCTGCGCTTGTTCATCGAGGGTCAAAGGAAGAAATCCTTGCCCCGGCCAGACCAGGAACTAACCGGCTCCTTCACCCCGTGCCCCCCTTCCCCGCTTGTGCTGCTGACGGTGTCGGATTTCATCTCGCCGCTGGGACCAGCCTCGCGCGCCCCTCCTCGTACTTCTCGAGGGGTTTCGACCCTGCAGCCGCGACGGACCGTCCCCGGGGAGCCTCGAGAGTTCATTCCGCCCGCCAGCGCCTCCCAAAGCCGAGCGGGGAGCCGCGCAGCACACGCTCGGGCGGGCGGCGCCGAGGAGGCGGCTCTCTCTCCCGCGACCGCCTGCGGGGACGATGGGATCCCTGCTAAGCAGCGACGGGCGGGAGGCGGTGGGAGGCCCCCCCGGCGGCATCCAGGTGCCTCCTCCGCAGTGGGGAAGAGCTGGCGAGAAGAAACCGCCACAGGCCCTGTCTTTCGACTGCTCCATCTGCCTGGAAGTGCTCCATCAGCCCGTCAGGACGCGATGTGGCCACATGTAAGTGGAGCAGCCCTCCCGACTTGGCCGGGGCGGGATGGGAACCCTTCGCTGCGCTGTGTGAGGAAATGAACTCACACGAGGCTAAGGCCAGCCGCCTTCACTGTGAAAAGGGTCTGTTTTGAGGACTGCCACTCTGGCACCTTCTGGAACTGGTTCCTCCCGGTTCCACCATGGACCCAACTTCCAAGTTAAAAAACAAACAGAAGCAGCCTCCCCTTTGTATTTCTTTGACCCCCCCCTTTGGAATTCCGAAACAAACAAGTATTTTTGTTATCAGAGAATGTTTTCCACTCCTCATGCCTCTTTTTCTTTAAATCTAGTTAAAAGAATTTTAAGCATTTTAACTTGAGGCTTTCTATCCATGACCACGGGGATCAATTTGACTTGCACAATTGTCTCAGATTACCTTTCATTAAGATTGCATTATTCATATTCTCTGTTCTCTTAAAATCTTGTTAAAAACAAGAATGAATTAAAGAATGAAATGAATTTGTCATGTAGTGGAGTGGCTAATGAAAACATTACTTTCTAAACTATAATCTAGATTTATAGATGTCAGTGTGGTGTAGTGAGAGCCAGTGTGGTGTAGTGGTTAAGAGCATGGGACTGGGACTCAGAGGATCTGGGTTTGAGTCCCCGCTCGGCCATGGAGCCAACTGGGTGACTTTGCGCCAGTCACAGTCTCTCAGCCCAACCTACCTCACAGGGTTGTTGTTGTGGGGATAAGATGGAGGAGGAGAGATAATGTAAGCTGCCTTGAGCCCTTTGTAGGAAAAAGGCAGGATATAAATCAAAAAAATAAAAAAATAAAAATCGAAAAATAAAAATGTGGAAAACTACTTTGCAGTCTGTTGTATGAAGTACCCCAAGATAATGTATGTGATATATCTTGAACAATAATAAAAAAAACAATATGCATGTGCTACCTATAATATGTTGAGATTTCTATTGACACACAGCACTTGCTTTAATTAGCCACAAATGCAGTTGTTTACAATATATTTTATCAATGAACAGATGGCCCATTTTAACTACATTGTCCTCAGTGTGCTGATATTTCTTAAACAGAAATATTTACAAGATACTTGTAAATATTAACTATCTTAATTTATCATCCCCACTGAATTTTGTGGGTAAAACATCCTTAAAAATAAAAAATGTTTCAAAAAAGGGGTGGGGAATCCCTCTAATTTGGGAAATAACAAACCTGTTGAATAGCAGCATTCCTCAGAATTAAAAATTTAAGAGTTTTCTGTTATTCCCATAGATAAATGTGAACAAACTATAGATGAGACAAATTTCATTTTCCTTGCTTGACTCTGAGGCTGCTAGAATGTAGGCCTAAGCCCTATATAGGATAAACCAGGTAAAATCAGATCAGGTAGCATTTTCAGTGTATAATTCTCTCTTGTACAGATGCACTTTGGGAAATGTTGCAAAGGTTTGAAATCATGCACATGTTTGGAAACAATGAAACAGGGTTTATGCTAAGCCATTTTTTCAACTGCACAGGAAGCTGGTGCAGCTCCTCCATTTCTACCATGTGAGTGCCTTCCAAAATTATTCTAATAGAAAATATATGAGAGGAAGCCATAAATTATAACTTCACTTCTGCTGCCCAGTAGCTGTACTTCAGGAATTTCTCTGACCCTGTCATCATTAAGATATCTATCCATTCACTTTTGCTGATGTGACCCTCACTCTTGAAGAGGGTGGATACATCTTAATCTGATGTTTTTGCTTTGACCAATCTGCCTTGGTGTCCCTGGTAAGAGACCAGCCTAACAGTGAGTCTGGACTCCTGGAAACATTGTTCTTGGTGACTTTTACCTTTTCAACCCCACTAACCATGTGAAAGGTGTGCAGGGGAGAGGTGGGATTAAATTTACTATGCATATTATAAGGACACTTATGATACTAATGCAGAGTATATCTGCCTAAAAACTTTTTTCCAAAACTGAGTATTGGTTCAGCATTTCTAAGAGAGACTTGCTTCATTGATGCTATAGTATTTCCAAGATCAGTTCAGCAGTTTAAGGAGTTTACTCCTATCATACTCCCAATGTAGAACAAAATACATTCTCAACTCTCCCACATATTCTATATTCAGAGGTACACAGAAGTGCATAACCTTTGACTAGATCATGTCTTATGTTGTGCTTGATCTCCTCTAAGCAGTTTTATTAGCGCATAGTAGAATTTACAATTCACTGGTAAGTGTGTAGGTACTTGGATGCTAATGAGTAACTTCAACTAATACACAGATAGCCCCATAACAGAACATATTATCTTCTCAAACCTCACTTTATCAGAGGTCTAATAGATTAGGGTGCTCAGGTAAACAAAATGATTAACAGAGAAGAACTGCAGTAAGAACCAGTATCACAAGGTCATGTCCCCTCATGAGTGTAACTAGGTTACATTTAAAATTGCTTTCTTTTCATTGGAGTTTTGTGGGGAAACATGTTTTTTTTTTAATCCTCCTGTCAGATTCTGTCACTCTTGTATTGCAACAAGTTTAAGGAATAACACATGGACATGTCCTTATTGCCGGGCTTATCTTCCTTCAGAAGGGATTCCAGCAACTGATGTTATCAACATGATGAAAAATATTTATCAAAACTGTACAGAATGTGAAACACAGGTAAATAACCACTGATATTTCCATAATTTCTATATTTTATGGAGGAGTATTCAGTGCTTACGCACACTTAGGTGCAATTCCCACTGAGTCAGTGGACATATTGTGCCCAACATTAGGTTTGATCCTATGTCACATTGTATATTTTACCATAAAACCTCCCTAATAAGTATTGTTTTCTCTTTACTTGTGAGACTTTAAATGTTGAATTAATATTTCCCCTCTTATATGAGAAAGATTCATATGCAAGTATCTTTAATTAAATTTAAGACTGGGATATTGAGTCTGCAACTGTACAAGCATTCCAGCTCTAAATACTTTACCTAAAAATATCTCATTGAAATCAGTTTCAAATAATAAGCTTGATTTGGCAAAATAAAGAACTTAAATGTCTTTGATTTCAATAGAAAAAGTAAGTAAATGCTTATAGCTGCAACCCTGTACTCTAACTGGGAAAAACACAGTGTAAGTCTCATTGAAATTAAATTCAATGGGGCTGACATCTGAGCAGGCATATATAGTACTGCATTAACTGGAAATCACTTAACAATTGAAACAATTGGATTCTGATCTTGCTTCCTGGGGTTTTACAAACCCATTTTAGCATTTGCATGGACAAACAGAACTTGTAGGAGAATGTTGCCATATGAAGTGCTATTCAGAGTTCTGGCCAGCTGCTGTGCCTTTCTCTAGTATATTCCATTCCATTCTGTCTGGTTTTCATTGCTCAGTCATCATTAGTCTGTTCTAGGGTTGTTGACATGGATTTGCCCTAGCTTGAACACAGCAGGCAATGAAGCTTTTGCTATACTCTCTTGCCATTCTTTTGGCATCCTTGCTCTTAAGTAAGCCTATTTTGCCACCTACCATAGCAGTGTGGGGAGGACAGTGGAGATTAGGATTCATAGAGCAGCAGGATGTGAGGTACAAAATCTGAATCTTCCCCACTGTGCTTGATCTTTTGACCTGGTAACCCTTAGTTCCCAGTGGTACTTGGGAATCCTCTTTGGATGCTGCAAAGGCTACAAAGTTGGACTGCTGCATTGGATCATACTGTACTTGGTCAATGTGGCACAGAGCTCAGTGTCACTGTTGCTAGCGCAGATTATCTAATCCAGTTTAAAAGAGTTGTAATTGGCAGGTCCAGCTCCAGATGGGGTTTTGGTTTAAGTCTTTTTTTTTAATGCAAAACGGCAAATGCTCACTCTGGAATGTTTGCAGGCAATCCATGATGTAGGATTTTGCTCACCTTCC